TTTTGTTCTTCAGTCTAGTTGTGGAGGACGTTGCTTCACTGGCCCAAGCTGGCACCATCATTGCGCTCTTCCCGGGTGAGGCAGATCAGTCGCCGCTTCTGGACAGCTGCTCACTGCGGCTGCTGGCGGCTCATGCTGGCTGCTGGCTACACACGGTAGCCCATGGCAACCCACTGCCACAGGGGCTACAGCCTATGCTGTCGCCAGCGACTCATGGCAGCCCAGCTCCAGGTTAAGCTGTTGTTCAGCATCTTAGCTGTGGAGGGCAGTGTCACCAGCCCTCATATGTGGGATCCGAACCAGGGTCCCTCTGGCGTCCCAAGCCAGTTCTTAACCATCGCGCCACTCGGCCGGCCCTGAACTTGTTTTTTTCTTTCCTATTTGCTATCTAGTCTATTTTTTTTTTTGAGGTATAATTGACATAACATTATATTAGTTTCAGGTGTACAACATAATGATTTGGTATTTGTATGTATTGTGAAATGATCACCACAGTAAGTCTAGTTTAACATCCATCACCATAAATAGTTACAAAAAAATATTTTTTCCTTAGCAACTTTCAAATATGCAGTACAGTATTATTAACTATAGTAAATGGCAAGATTCTCTTTTTTGTGGCTGAATAATATTCCTCTGTGTGTGTGTGTGTGTGTGTGTGTGTGTGTGTGTGTGTGTGTGTCACATTTTCTTTAGCCATTCATTCATTGATGGACATGTTTGCATATCTTGGCTATTGTAAATAATGCTGCAATGAACATGGGGTGTGTGTGTGTGCATGTATCTTGAATTAGCGTTTTCATTTTTTTCAGATAAATACCCAGAAGTAGAATTGCTAGATCATAAGGTAGTTCTGTTCTTAATTTTTTCAGGAACATCCATACTGTTTTCCACAGAGGCTGCACCAATTTATATCTCCACCAACAGTGCACAAGGGCTCCCTTTTCTCCACATCCTCGCCAACACTTATTTCTTTTCTTTTTGATAACAGCCATTATGACAGGTGTGAGTTGATATCTCGTTGTGGTTTTGATTTGCATTTCCCTGGTGATTAATGATGTTGAGCGCCTTTTAATGTACCTGTTGGCCATCTCTATGTCTTTTTTAAGAAAAGTCTATTCAGATTCTCTGCCCATTTTTAAATCACTGTTTATTTTTTGCCATTGAGTTGTATGAGTGCTTTATATATTTTGCATAGTATTTGCAAATATTTTCTCCCATTCAGTAGATTGTCTTTTCATTTTGTTGATGGTTTTGTGTGGGAAGAAAGAAATTTCCTCTACCGTCCTAAGTTCTCTCAGCTGGTCTAATAATTAAAACATGAGATAAATTAACAAGAGAAAATAGCCAAATTTAATAACATATGTATGCATTGGAATCCCACATACATGAAAGAGTATGACACCCCACATACATGAGAGGTTCAAAGACAGGAAAAATTAGTTATGTGACATTTGGAGCTAGGGATGAGGTTAAGGGGTCTTGGCGCTTCAGAGGGAGGAAGGTCACTGCAGAATGATAAGAACCGATGTTCAGTAATTAATTAGTAGTTTGCCCTGCCATATAGATAGGTCAAAAAAGTTATTTCTGGTGAAAACTCTTGTTATGGGCAAGGCCCCTAATTTAAATTCTTTAAGGGGGAGGTAAAAGTTTCCATTGGGCCTGGAGGGTCTTGATTGTCTTCAGCTCAAAATAATTCACACGCCAAAGTGGCACACCTTGGGGAGGCCTGTTCTGACCCCCTATAGCGTCCTTTGCTGTGCAGAAGCTTTTTAGTAGATGTGGGCCATTTGTTTATTTTTGCTTTTGTTGGCTTTGCTTTTGGTTTCAAATCCAAAATGTCATTGCCAAGACCGCTGTTAAGGAGTTTACCACATGTGGTTTCTTCTAGGGGTTTTATGGTTGCAGGTCTTAGTTCAAGTCTTCAACCCATTTTGAGGTAACTCGGTGTATGGTGTTAGATAGTGGTCATGTCATTGTTTTGCATGTGGCTGTCCAGTTTCCCAACACTTATTGACGAGACTGTCCTTTCCTCATTGTATGTTCTTGGCTCCTTTATTGTAAATTATTGACCATATATGTTTGGGTTTATTTCTGAGCCCTCTATTCCATGCCACTAACCTACGCATCTGTTTTTATGCCAATACCATACTGTTTTTATGACTATAGCTTTGTAATATAATGTAAAGTCAGAAAGTGTGATGCCTGCAGCTTTGTTCTTCTTTCTCAAGATTGCTATTCAAGGTCTTTTGTGGTTTCATAAAAATTTTAGGATTGTTTGTTCTATTTCTATGAAAAATGCCATTGGAATTTTGGTAGAGATTGCATTGAATCTTTAGATGGCTTTGGGTAGTATGGACATTTTAACAAGATCAATCCTTACAATCCATGAGCATCAAATATCTTTCCATTTATTTGTGTTTTCTTCATCAGTACCTTATAGTTTTCAGTGTAGAGGTCTTTCATCTCCTTGGTTAAATTTATTCCTAGGTATTTTTATTATTTTTAAGACAACTGTAAATAGGAGTGTTTTCTTAATTTCCATGATAGTTCGTCATTAGTGTATAGAAATGAAACAGATTTTTGTATATTGACTTTGTATCCTCTGGTTTTACTCAATTTGTTTATTATTATTAGTTCTAACAGTTTTCTGGTGGAGTGTTTAGGGTTTTTTATCTATATCATGTCATCTCACTAGGACTTCCAATACTATGTTGAAAAAAGTGGCATGATTGGGAATTTCTGTCTTGTTTCTGACCTTAATGGAAAAGTTTCTAGCTTTTCATCATTCAGTATGATGTTTGGTGTGGACTCGTCATAAATGGCCATTATTATGTTGAGGTATGTTCTCTCCATACCCATTTTGTTCAGTTTTTATCATAAATGGATGTTGAATTTTGTCAAATGCTTTTTCTGCATCTACTGAGGTGATATGATTTTTATCCTTCATTTTGTTAATGTGATGTATCACACTGATTTGCGGATGTTGAACCATCCCTGCATCCCTGGCATAAGTCCCACTTAATCATGCTGTATGATCCTTTTAATGTGTTACTGAATTTGGTTTCCTAATATTTTGTTGAGGATTTTTGCACCTATGTTCATCAGGGATGTTGGCCTGTAATTTTCTTATGTCCTTGTCTGATTTTGGTAGCATGGTAAAATCAGTTTGGAAGTGTTTCCTCCTCTTCTATTTTGTGTGAGAGTTTGAGAATTATTAATATTAATTATTTTTAAATGTTTGGTAGAATTCACCAGTGAAGCTTTCTGGTCCTAGACTTTGGTTTGTTGGAAGGTTTTTGATTACTGATACTATCTCCTTACTAGTAATCAGTCTGTTCAGATTTTCCATTTCTTCATAACTCAGTCTAGGTAGGTTATATGTTTCTAAGAATTTATCCATTTCTTCTAAATTGTCAAATTTGCTGACATATAATTGTTCATAGAAGTCTCTTATGATTCTTTGTATTTCTGTGGTATCAATTTTAATGTCTCCTCTCTCATTTCTGACTTTGAACTATATTCTTAAGTTAAAATTTTCCCTGGCTATATAATTGTCAGCTAGACTGATGAATTTTGGTAAACTCAAGGCCAGTTAAAGGAACTGGCCTTTAATATAATGCATCAAGGGAACAATCCACTGGAGTAAAAAGTGTTCAGGAGATAGTCTTTGCAGCTCTGAGTAAAACACTGTAAGCTGTAAGTTGGGGCCTTTTACAGTTTCATGGTGGCTTTTTGAGTCATTTTGTCCTCTTTAAGTTTAGCTACTTTCTATAGTGCCTATTATATTTTATCATAAAAATTCTTACTCATAATGCTATCAAATTTATTAGGAACTGGTATTTTGTTTTATTAAATCACTATTATTTTTTGTGTTTATCATGAAACAAACCCAGGGTATGGGTACAATGAAGTAAAGCATTTTTATTATAGCAACAAGGATTTTTTTGGAAATTGAGCTTTGATTTTAGAAAATATGTTACAGGGTAAAGGTGTAACACTATATTTAATTTTATTTGCCTTACCTGGTTATGGTTCTATTTGGATAATACAACTTCTGTTATCTCAATTTATTATTTTATAACTTATGTAATAAATCATAAATTTTACTTTCCCTAGGTTTAGAGACTTTTAGCCAGTTAATTTACCAAGATCCTTATGGGGCTGTAAGTATGTTTTTCATATATTACTAACATTGTTGGATAGACATATTACTACAAGAAAAATGTAGACTTTTTAGCTATTTATTGCTTCCTGAAGGTTTCTTCTCCCCAAATATTTATCTTAGCTGGTAAGTGTAAATTTCACTTTTTTCTTCTAAATTAATCTTTTATCCAGTACTTACATAGATAGATGTAGTCTTCAGTGAGCTCAAGTCAAGAAAAACTTCTAAAAATAAATCAAAATTTATTTTGTCTTATAGTACACCATCAATGAATCCACCATCAGTGATTCTCCAAGGTTTCCTCACAGAGGAATTTTAATTGATACAGCCAGACACTATCTGCCAGTTAACAGTATTCTTAAAACTCTGGTAGGTAATTATTTTATTATGATCCATTGTCTATTCTGAAGCTATATCCTTTTATGTTATTTTACATTGGTTAGTTATGCTATTATGCAGGCTGGAATGGGGGATTTTTTCATGTACTAGCATAAGGACTGAGCTTTCTTCCCTCCCTCCTTAGGAAGTTTATTTCCTCAGCAGAGACACACAGGCTTCCCTAGGGAATCACCCTCTTGTTTTCAAGGCGGGTGCTCAACAAGGTTAGCCAGGATGAAGAGAGAAAGACACGGTTTTAATATTGCCATTGGCCCTATGTGTGTACGCCCATTTGTCAAATCACAGGTCTAGACTTTTGGTTAGGAATATGTGGTCAGGTACCTCTAGTTAGAGTCCTTTAATTTTGTGACCTCCACTTACTTTCTTTATAGTGGCATAGAAAGTCTGCAAGCTGCTTTATATCTAGGGAACTATTCCAAAGGAATACGGAACCTCGGGTAGTAAGAGCCGGGGGCGAGGTGGACACTATTTTCTCCTCTGGACTTTTTATTGGTTCACTCCCACCATCACTGCCAATTTGCAGTGGTGGGGAGAGTTTTCTCCCATTTTTTTTCTGCACCTTCACTTGATCATTTACGAATACACTGTTATAAAAAAATATAAATTTTTTACATTTACATTAATTCCCTGAATGTTTACATCTAAAACATTGTCACTTTTATGGAAAAAAATGTTAAGTGTAAACAATTCACACAATACAGATACTAATAAAATAAGTAGTAATCCCATAATTTCATTTACCAAAGATCAACATAAATTTTTACGTCCCATTTATCTCATTTTATACTTACAAAAATGAATATATTAACATATAATGTGACTTTTTCATTGCACTTTTGTTATCTTTCAAAATACTATTATGGACATCTTTCTTGAAAGAATATATAAGGTTTATATCATCTTTTTAAACAGTTGAATATTCCATTTTATATACCATGATATGTATTATATTTAGCCAGTCTCCTGCTGATGGACAGCTACGTTAATTTATTATTATCAAAAACAGTACTACAGAGTCAGCATTCTTATATTTGTATACTTGTCAGGATTATTTCCTGAGGATAACTCTTAGAAGTGAATCTCGGGGCTTAAAGATGCATACATTCTATCTTCTGGCACATTTTCACTTTCAGTACATACTGTTAGGCTGCCTCTGGGAAAGTCACTGCAGTGTGCTTGGCTAACAGTGGGCACACCTTGCCACATTCTCTGCTAATCTGGTGATAAAGTATAAATCCTTATTTTAATTTGTACTTCTCTGATATTTGGTGAATATAAAAGCCTCTTTTACTTATTAGCTATTTGTATTTTTTGTATTGCAAACTGCAAGTTTATTTTCGATGCCCATTTTGTCTTCTAGAACATTAAATCCTTCCTTGTTGATTTAAGAGCTCTTTAATGTTACATTTGTTTGTAGCTGTGTCAGTGATACTTTTATATTTGTTTGTATCTATTATATATTTATCCATCATATATTGTGAAGTTTTCTAAATTTGTTTTTTAAACTATGTTTATGTGTAGCATCTGTTACTGGTAGAACTTTTTATTTATGACTATTATCTTTCGATCTTGTCTTTTATTGTTTTTGACCTTGGGAGGTATGCTAAGAAAGGCCTCCAAAACAGGGGTATCAATATAAAAATAACTTCTCAAATTTTCTTTTAATATACTTTTTCCTAATAAATTCTTGATTTGGTTAGAATTTACTTTAGTGTATCATAGGTGATTATTATCCCCCCCCCCCGAATGGTTAGCCTGTAGTCACAACATCATTTTTGAGCAATCTATAATTTCCCTACTGCTTTCAGTATTGTGAAGAGCAAATAGTAAATTCCATAAATACACAAGTCAGTTTCTGATCTCTCAACCTGTCCTATTTACCAGTTTATCTTCTTGGGCCAGTATAGATGGTTTTAATTTGTATATCTTTAGAAGGTTTTTTTTCCTTTTTATTTTGAAGTAATTTCAAACTTACTGAAAAGTTGTTAGAAGAGTGCAAAGGACTTCCATGTACTGTTTACCCAGACATCTCAATGTGAAAATTGTATTATATTTGCATTATTCTTTCTCTCTATTTACACATATTTTTCGTAAACCATATGCAAGTTGCACATAAGATGCCCAACACTGATTAACATTTGTTTGGATTTCCAAAAAAAAACAAACAAAAAAACCCCCACTTATCTCAATAACTATAGTACAACCATCAAAAATCAGGAAATTGACATAATACTACCATCTAAAATCCACAGACCCCATTCAAATTTCATTGGTTGTTCCAATGATGTCCTTTATAGGGTTGGCATCGAACACAGGATCAGGAGTTGCATTTATTTGTCATGTCTCTGCAGTCATCTTCAATTTGGAACTATTTATCTTTCCTTGTTGTTCCAGACCATGGTATTTTTGAGGAGTACAGGCCAGTTACTTTATAGAATATACTTCAGCTGGTATATTTTTCACATGATTAGATTCAGGCTGTGCATTTTTAGCAGACCTAAAGCAGCTGTGATGCTGTTCTCCGTGCATATCAAGTGGCACGATGCCTTATTTATTCTATCATTGGCAATGTTAACTCTTATACTTGGCTAAGATGTCGTCTGCCAGGTTTCTCTACTATAAAGTTAATTAAAAACATTTTGTACTTATTAATAAGTAATTAAGTATCCTGTGAGGCAATATTTTGAGAGTATGTAAAATTCCTTTTCTTCATCAGCATTTACCCACTAGTTTTAGCATCCACAGATTCTTTTTGCCCTCATCAGTTATTACTAAAATGGCTGCCAGGTGGTGATTTTCTAAATTCCATCATTCCTTGTAAATTTATTTATTAGTTGGCATTTTACTGAAAGATGGAGCTTCTCTTTAAGTATTCATTATTTTTATCAGTTTGTACTCAGGGATTACTATTTTTTGAGGGGTTTATAATCCATTACTATCCCTGTATACATGTCCCAGTGTTGGCCAGTGGGAACCCTTCTAGCTGGATCTCATATCCATTTGGCATGTCTCCTTCCATCTTTGAGTACTTTCTTACTTTTTAGCATATGGTATTCCAGGCTTTTCTTTTCTTTTTCCCAGTCCTGGAATCAGACTTTTCTCCAAGGAACACTTAGTAGTGAACGATATTTTGAAACCAGAATCTGGGATGTAGGTATACTGATTGCTTCTAGGCCCTCTAAGCAGACAGATGTATAAAAATTGTGTGTGTGTGTGTACATACATTTATGTGACTTCCACATACATCTTTACCTATTTCTGCATCTATCTATATCAGAGGTTGGCAAACTATAGCCCAAGGACCAAATTCAGAGTGTGTGTGTGTGTGTGTGTGTGTGTACATACATTTACGTGACTTCCACATATATCTTTACCTATTTCTGCATCTATCTATATCAGAGGTTGGCAAACTACAGCCCAAGGACCAAATTCAGTTTGTCACCTACTTTTTTTTGCAAATGAAGCTTTACTGGAGTATAGCCACATCTGTTTGTTACATACTGACTCGCTCTACAACTGCAGGATTAGTTGAAATAGAAACCTTATGGTTCACAAAACCAAAAAATTTACTCTCTGGCCCTTTATGTAAAAAGTTTGCTATCCCCTGGTCTTTATTAAAAACCATGAAGAACTCCTTTCTCTGACAATGCAAATCTTGCCATTATCCTCAATATATGTACTTCTTTGCACAATTCCTTTGTATGTAAGCTATTTCCCAAATGCATCAGCAAATCCCTTCAGCGCTGACAAAAGGAGAAGGGAGGCTTTTAGTTCTGATTATCTGATAGGGTAAATCTACCCCCTTATTATTTTTTTACCTTTTGAAAATGGTCTGCTTATATTTTATGTACCGTATTTGCCGGCGTATAAGACGACTGGGCGTATAAGACGACCCCCTAACATTTCCACTCAAAATACAGAGTTTGTTATATACTCGCCGTATACTACCCCCTCTTCCGCACACCTTCCACACACCAAATAAAAGGTAAAACAATATCAGATTTGATTTCAACATTTATATTTATATTCAAATGCTTATGACATGCAGGAAAACTGTCACAAGGCTGTATGTAATCAAACATATACATAAATCGCGATTCGCGATTTTGCGCTATCATACTGGGTGTATGGTCGGCTGTGTGCGATTTTGCGAGTGTGGTAAAATCGCATAACAGCAAAATCGCATAACAGCCGAGCATACACCCAGCAGCGCTGCTGATGCCTGAACGGTATGTGGAATGAAGTGGGTGGGCATCGGGAGGCCACTATGGCACGGGGCAAGCACTATGGGCAGTCTATCTGAAGTGTACCTGGCGTATAAGACGACCCCCCACTTGGAGGCATATTTTTCAGGGCCAAAAAATCGTCTTATACGCCGGCAAATACGGTAAGTATTATATTGTTAATTCGTCCAGAGTATACATAAAGTCAACAATGTTGAGAATTTTGAATGGAATTGTATGGCATTTGTACCATATTTCTTTCATTTCTAAGGAAGGGTTAGCACTCAAATCTCAGACTTGTGGGAATTATAAGCCCTGGTACTAAAATGAGTGCCCCATTTTTCCTCTGCTCCAGTTCCAAATACAGTCGTAGCAGCCAAGAACTATTTTCCACTCTTGGCCACCCCTAAATACTTGCTGGGAATTCATAAGCTTGCTCCCTTTCCACAGCGCAAAGTTATAGCTCACTGTTTAGAATAAATACAAATTCCGCATAGGCTTTTTGAAAAGTGATATGCCATGTAAAGTGTATAAGAATTCCTACTTCCACATTGTTTGTTGAAAAAGAAACTTTACAAGGAAGCAGACACATTGGTAACAATCCTGAATGTAGAGATGTAAATTGGATTGTGTATTTTATCTGTGGTATATAATCTGTTAACATGTTTGCTTGTAGGATGCCATGGCTTTTAATAAGTTTAATGTTCTCCACTGGCACATTGTTGATGACCAGTCTTTCCCTTATCAGAGCATCACTTTTCCGGAGTTAAGCAATAAAGTGAGTAATTCATGTTATTGTAGTCTATCTACAACAATTTTTGGTAGTTTCATTAGAAGTCGGTAGCTTAAATGTTTCTTATGGATAGAATTAAAGTGTAAAAGTTAGATGTTTGTGGTTTTAAGTGTTTTTTAATAGGCTGTGGCATAGCATTTTAGATCCATAAAACTGTTCTGTTTTTATAATTATGTTATTATAAATGTAAACAATTTCTAGGGGCTATTTAAATAAAAATTTTAAAACTTAATACATGTAAGAGACTTAAAGCATTCATGATTCATATAAGTTTAAGTGATTATATTTATGGGGTAGTCCGACTGTATATTTGTTTTAAATAATTATTTTGAGTTGTATAAATGACTTGCTTTTTCTCTCTGAAAAATTACATAAAGTAGGGAATTTGAGAAATGAGAGTTCCTTAGAAAAAAAGCAGTAGTCTCTGAGTGTTCCAGCTGATTATATTATAGAGCAGTGGGCCTGGGAGTAAGCCTCAGTATCATCTACTTTAGTCCACCTGAAATGCAGACACTGACTGACACCCGGAGAAGCTGGATGCCTTGTCTAAAGTTGCAGTTAGGAAGGGGCAGAGCCAGGACTCACGGTTTCCTCTTCTGGCCACAATTCCAAAGCTTTCCCCAATGTTATGATATAGTATAGGCTGAAATGCGAGCAGTACTCCTGTTTTTGTTTGCTTTACTTTTTATTATGGAAAATTTTAAACATAAACAGAAGGAGAATAATTTAATGAATCCCCATGTCCTCATCACCCAGCCTCAATAGTCAATACATGGCGAATCTTCTATCACCTATTTATGGTTACGTGAGGTTGAAACAGCATGACGGTAGAAGATCTGAAACAAAAGAGGCTGGTCGTTCTATCAGGAAATCGGGAATTAACCCAAAGTGTGCTGAGACCTTATTGATAAGATACAGTAAACACATAAATTAAACAAGTCATCCAACATCAAATGGACTATTGAATACACTGTGATACTGGAAAAATCAGCTATGAGATATCAAAGTGCGGAGAGAACTGTTAACAGTTTTCAGGACCAAATCCATTTTGTACATTTTAATTTTAATCAATGTGGCATTTACAGGGAAGCTATTCTTTGTCTCATGTTTATACACCGAATGCTATCCGTACGGTGCTTGAATATGCCCGATTACGAGGGATTCGAGTCATACCAGAATTTGATACCCCTGGACATACACAGTCTTGGGGAAAAGGTGAGTGTTTTATGAGTTTCAAAAAGTGAACATCTGAGATCCTACATCTCTTATTTTATAATTTGGTGTTTGCTCATTTTGTTCTTAATTTTGATTGACATAAGATGTAGCACTATTGACAGATATAATTCACTAATAACTATTATGTGTTTATTGTGAGCAAGTCATTGTGTTTAGGCGCTGCCTGAAGTATAAAAACAAGAGATAAAAGGAAAGAAAAAAATGACTAAGACAAGTAGAACATAAATGAATTCCAGAAATGGTTTCATGGATGAGGTAACGCTTAAAATGCTTCTGAGAGATGAAAGAATATATTCCTGTTTCTGGAATAGCATGAGGAGAAGGCACTTATTTGGAGCACAGTGCAGCAGAGTAGGAGGTACTATAATAGGGTGGGTATAATGGATGTAAAGCACATAGCACAGCACCTAGCATTTATAATTGTTCAATAAATATGAGGGTAGACATGGAGACTAGTGAGAAGTAAGTCTGGAGAAGTACAATGTAGAGGACGTTGCGGGAGGAGTGTGGGCTTCATCGGGACACACCGAAACCAGTGAAAGTTCCAGAGCAGAAGAGTGACGTGACAGACACACTTCAGGAAGACCTATAGGAAAGTGACAGGTGGGGAAGGGAAAGAGACTGAAGTCTTAGACCAGAACGGTGATAGCAGAAATGGAAAATAATGTACAGAACTGAGGGAATTATTTTGGAAATATAATCCATAGAACTTGGCAACTTGATTGACTTTGGGAGGAGAGAAAAGAGTTACAGATTAGGAGGATGGTGGCACCCTTACCACAATACAGAAATCAGCAGAAGCTACAGAAGGAGCTTAGAATTTAGTTTTTGTTAGATTGCATTTGAAGTACAGCTAGGATATCTAGTTGTGTTCAGTGGGGAATCTGAAACATGGATTGAAGCTTAAGAAAAAGGGTTGGGGCAAGCTGAAGATTTGGGAATTGTTAATATTCAAGGTGATATTTGAAGTGGATAAAATGTCAGGCTGACAGAAAGGGAAGCAAAGAGGTACAGGGATAGGATTCAGGAAAAAATTCTTTCTCATCTTATTTGGAAGAAATTACCATGGTAACTCTTAGTAAACATGCTTTATCTTTTTCTGTGTAAAATCTCTTACAGCTTCAACAAAATATAATACAACCACATGCAAAGCCAAGTCTGTGTGATGCTGATTCTTTTCTAAAGAAGTATTTTAATGCTTTCTTCCAGGTCAGAAAGACCTCCTGACTCCATGTTACAATAAACATCAGTCTGGGACTTTTGGACCTATAAACCCTATTCGGAATACAACTTACAGCTTCCTGTCCACATTTTTCAGAGAAATTAGTGTGGTCTTTCCAGATCAGTTCATTCATTTAGGAGGAGATGAAGTGGAATTTTATTGTTGGTATGAGTTCTTTAAAACCCTTATTTTTCTTAACCATTGCATTTGAAGTAGGTTTAGAGGTCTCCAAATGAAAAGGGAAGATTTGGGGTGATACCTCTGCACAGTTCTAACTTGGCAACACAAATCCTGAGATGGTAGAGTTTTGTAGAATGTATATTTGGGTGGCATGAGAAAGAAAAAGCTTTTAGGAAGGAGAATCAAGATGCAGAAGAAAATGGAGATTGAAAAAAAAAAAAGAAAAGGCTATAGTGAACAAGAATAGCTGTAGTGAAAGAGGGCAATGAGTAAGTGGGGGGAGATTTTTCAAATAAAAACCCTCTTTGCAAATAGCCTTAGATGAAGGAGAGAAACAAGGAGGTAGGGAAATCCATTTTTACAAGAAATCCGCTTCTGGAAAAAATTATTTGCAATGGAAAGCTAAGACAACTCATAATTAAGTTTTTAGGCTTATTTTTACTCTACAAACTTGAATAGTTTTAAATTGGCACAAATGATGTTAGGGATGTATGCTGCTTTAAATAGACTGGGCATTATTGAAATTTTAATCACTTTGTTTTTTAAAGGGAGTCCAATCCAGATATCCAGTATTTCATGAAGCAGAAAGGCTTCGGCAGTGATTTTAAAAAACTAGAATCTTTCTATATTCAAAAGTAAGTTACTTGAAAGCCTACTTGTGTTTTTATTTCATCAATGCCTTTTGTAAATGTTCTAGCTATTATTTAGTACTATTTTATTCATTTTTCTCTCCACCCTTTGACAAAGTGTGGATGTTGTATACTTTGTTGTACAAAGTGTAGATGAAAAAACATAAAGAAGGAAGCAATATCCACTGCTTTCTTCAAATCAGTAACATGGTAACTAAGTCTTTTGCAATAACTGTTGAAATACAGGATTGCAGTCATGTTCTAAGAACTCAGCTCAGAGCCCTGGCTACCCTGTGAAGTCTTCATCACCATCCAGCCCCTGTAATTCATTCCCTTTTGTCAACTCCAGAAGCACTTCTCTGACTTTATACCTGTGCTGTCCAGTATGGTGGGCATAGTCACATGTGGCTGTTTGTATTTAAATTAAAATTGGAGAAAATTAAAAATTCAGTTCCTCAGTCACACGAGCCACGTTTGAAGTTCACCAGCCAGATGAGGTTGGTGGCTCCCATACTGGAAAGTGCATATCCATGCCACCTCCATCAGTGCAGAGAGTTCCATGGACAGCGCTGCTCTCTACTAGAGATCAGCAAGCTTTTTCTGTCAAGGGCCAGACAGTAAATATTCTAGGCTTTGTGGGCCACATCTGGTTCTGTATTTTTATTTTTTAATAACGCTTTACAGATACAAAAACCCATTCTCGGCTTATGAGCCATCCAAAAACAGGCTGTAGTTTGCCACCTCCTGCGATGAGCAAGCCCAGACTCTAGCCTTTCCTATTTGGCTTTTTGTGTGATACATTCTAACTTTTTTATCCTGCAGAGCACCTGGCATTGTCTAAATATCAGGAAATATTTGTGGATGGACTGTCAGCAACTGCTGAATGTTATTTAGGTGACATTACAGGCTAGATTACAGTTTCTTTTATTCCAAGATACTCATGAAATTAGCAGATTGCCATGTGGACACGCCCCTATGCGTTGCCATGTCTTCCTAGCTGTGGAGCATGCTTAGCTTATTCATTCAGCAAATAACTATTAAACCCCTTTCTGAGCCATGTCCTAGAAAGAGGGAACCACATGGGTCACCACTCAACTTTAGCTGGTTCTGTTATAAAGCTCTGTTTTTCGTTGCAAAAATGCGTCATGACTTTTCCGACAACCCAATATATTCAAAGGCACCTCTCAATGTTGCAGTCCTTGGTAGAAAATGTGCACACTTTAAACATGGTTAAGTCTGTGATCTGAAATAACTTGTAATTTTTTTCAATCGTAGGCTTTTGGATATTATTTCAACCATCAAGAAGGGATCCATAGTCTGGCAGGAGGTCTTTGATGACAAAGTGAAGGTGAGGAGTATGAAGACTGCATTTGATTCTGGTAACACGAGGGGCTTAATACTCTAACATCGGTTATGGAAGAAACCCTAATGAAGCATTCCCCGACACTGAGGAAATTAGCTTCCCTTTCCATTTAAACTTTTGCTAGGCAATAGCTGTAGACTGAAACCAGTGTCAGTGGTATTTGTTTCTTTTAGTGCTTCTTTCTCCTCCCTCCTCTCTACCCTCTTCTCCTGCCATCTCATTATTAATCACACATTGAGGTACTTTAAAGTAAGTTCCCTTTTTCAGGTAATTGCAGAACAAGTAAGAACAAATGAGTTTTGATCACTATTAAGGTAGCGTTGTTTTAAAAAAAACTGTCAACGTACACGTTTTATTTAAAATGGCACCTCTCTAACATAGCCAGAATTCTTTATTTTCCTTTGGGGCAAGTGAGAATTTGCAAGTCCAGCTACTAGTATTACTTTTCCAAAAGGGTTGGTGACATTCTATCCTCACAGTTTCAAAGTAAGTGAAACAGTCGTGTGGTAGAAGTGGGACTAAAACCTGGTTCATTACACCTGTATGGCTTCATAAACAGGCAAAAGTGAAATATCCAACCTTAAGGTGGATGAAATGTCTCATTTTAAGTCCCTATAAGGAAGCATTTGGCACTAACTCTGAGGGGGAAGGGGAAAGACATGTTTTTCAAAGATCTTAGAGTTCTTTTTCTAGTTATAAGTCTTGGACTTTTAATTTTATCTATGGTATTTGCTAGAGCTAATATTATTTATTTCAATTTTTAACTTGAATAGCTTCAGCCAGGCACTGTAGTTCAAGTATGGAAGCGGGAATCGTATGCTCAGGAACAAAATGTAATCACAGCAGCCGGTTTCCCTGTGATCCTTTCTGCTCCTTGGTACTTAGATTGGATCAGTTATGGACAAGATTGGATAAATTACTATAAAGTGGAACCTCTTGATTTTGGTGGTAAGTGAAGCGACCATCATTACCTTGGTTTTCTTCTCTACCCTCCCACCAGAAATCCTTACCGAGATAGTATCTACTAACTATCCTCCCTTTTATGTTTGATCCTTGATTTTGTGTTGACTTAAAGGCCTCAGTATCATTTTAAAGTCTGTGAAAGAAACCAATCCTTACCTAAATAAAAGAACTTCGAAAGTAGATTCCCTTAGATTTTATCTCCATTTTCGCAGATGAGTCCTGTTACTCTCTCCATTTTAGTGATGTCTGCCTGCATTAACCTTGCATCTCCTCTTCCGAAGTGCCCCTCCAATGTAAGACACCTAAGCAAGGCTATCTATAATGTAGGTCAGTGGATTTCAGGCTGGTGGTCTTAGGGCTCTGAGGAGCATGCGTCCTTAGGGGAAGCAGGAAATGAGGAGGAGTGTGAGTGGTGGGGCGCCAGGCTCTCAGACCCCCTTTGTTAAGAACAGGTCGACTCTGTCCAATTTTGTACACCAGACTTTAATATAAAAACTTCTTTTGAGAAAAAAAGATTGGCTGTTTAAAAGAAGTTTCAAAACTGAATTGAAATAACTTTCTCCAGAAAGCATTTTCTGAGAGTCAAGTCATAATTACTATGATATCAAGAGATAGATATTAAAGGTAGGAGTGGTGGTCACTAGTATTCCAACTTGTATTCCCTGGCACACTATTCATTGGTAACCAGGGGAAAAAATCTGGTGTCCAAATCAGTTTGCATAAAACCAGTATAAAATGGTATGTTTAATACTGGCTGAGCCACAGGCTCGGGTGGGAATAAAGTTTGCCGCTTTTTTTTTGTGCCACTACCAGGAACATTTCCCAAGGTCCTGCTGATGACAGGAGAGAAATGGTGCCCTACGATAAAGATAGGAGAAATGAGTATTGCCTCTGTATACAGGCCTACTTAACTTCCATCAATTCAATGATTTTCATGTAGGTTCTCAGGAACAGAAGAAACTTGTCATTGGTGGAGAAGCCTGTCTGTGGGGAGAATATGTGGACGCAACTAACCTCACTCCGAGACTATGGTATGGAATTAAGTGATAACAATGAATTAAGGCGCCTTGGTTTTCCTTCTCCATCCAAGTAGGAAAGCATGCGGAATGTCCCCAAGCATATGATTTAGAAACTTATTTAAGAAAACATGAATTTAAACTGCTTTGAGGGACATGTGGTTTAAATTTTAGGCCTCGAGCAAGTGCTGTTGGTGAGAGACTCTGGAGTCAGAAAGAGATAAAAAATATAGATGATGCCTACAAAAGACTAACAATTCACCGCTGCAGAATGGTCCGGTAAGACAAATATTTCTCAAGTTGGGATACTATTAAGTCCAGGACAATTTTTAACCTTATTTAGTGTTAGCTAGCTTCTTGGGTTTTTTGTTTTTGTTGTGGTTTTTTTTTGCCATAAACAGAAATTTATGTCAGCTAAGAAGTAGTGATTTAATTAGGAGAAATTGGGAACTATTTCTTTGTAGGTAAACAAATATCCGTAAGGAGAAGATTTAGACTTACAACTGTTCTATAGATGTTAAATTTTGGTGTAATTTGAACCTCTTTACCTGGAATCACTTTAACAATCTTTTTTCAAAAATTATGGTTTAGTGAATGAGTTAAGCTACTAAGTTCTTTTAAGATGGAGATGTTATATTAATCTAAAACATCTTTTTTTTCATACCTTAACTGCTCTACAGACGCGGAATAGCGGCACAACCTCTTTTTACTGGATATTGTGACCATGAGGACAAAATGTAAAAATGAGCCAAAACTAGGAGGGGAAAGAAGCCCATAGCAATCTACTACAATCAGCTTGGTTTTGAAATCATGTAAATTTGGTACATTGTTTTGAATAAAATATATCTTTGTATTGATTGAACATCTATCTTATGTGTTACATATATAAAAGACTGGCATCTTCTAAAAGAAGCTTAAAAAAACAACAAACCTGGCAATATCACTCAATGTATTCCAAAGGGCCGAGTCTTTACTAATTGACAAAAATAACCTATACACAGGTATAGTTCAGGTACATTACCTTTCAACAGCAAAGCACATTTCTCATTATAGAAAGTAGAATGGGCAGTTCTACTTTCATTATCAGTTTAAAGTTCCATCTTTTATCTAGTTCTTTGTATTAAAACAGTAATTTATTTTTAGATTTTTATTAAAAATATAGCTAACATGCAACATAATATCAGTTTCAGGTGCACGCCATAGTTATTCAACGTTTAAATACCTAAAGAAGTGATCACCATGGTTAAGTCCAGCAACCAGCAACCGTCTGAGACTGTATCACACTATCACAATATCTGACTGTATTTCTCATGCTATACATTACATCCCCATGACTTATTTGTTTTGTACCTGGAAATCTGGATCTTTATTGCCAGGGGGATCACTTCTTTTTTTCCAAAACTTTACTGGGGAACACTGTGTTTTTTCCAGGTCTCGTCAGCTCCAAGTCAAGTCATTGTTTTCAATCTAGCTGTGGAGGGCACAGCTCACTGGCCCATGTGGGAATCGAACTGGCAACCTTGGTGTTAAGAGCCTGTGCTCTAACCACCTGAGCTAACCAGCTGCCCTGGGATCACTTCTTAAACTATACAAATGTCTAACCACTATACTATACACTGATATTAATATAAAATATTGAACGTCAACTTTAGTTGAAAATTTAAAAAAGGAAGAAAAAGGTGAAGGGCAATAAAAGGTCCAAATTTCCAGGTAAGAAACAATAATTTATTTGTCCAATAAATAAAGCAATAAAAGTTGTTCTTACTGAAAACAAAGTAGGCAGGTGCTCCTGAATTTCTCTCCAAGGACCTAAAGCACTTAGGTCAAGCCACTTCGGCTGAGCAGTGTACTTTGGTCGTGAGGACTCATGGCTTGATAATTAGATAGTTCTAAGGCGAAAGTAGCTGAGCCTGATGTTAGCGTTCGAAGCACAGTTGAATAACCCTAATCAAAATAATTTCAGTCAGTTATAAAATTTAAGCCTCCAGTTTCTCTTCCTCTTATCTTTTGACCATTACCAGGAAAGGTGATTATGTAACTTAACCATATCACTTCTCCAAACATATCATTTAATGATTTTTCTTAGGAAAAAATCAGGTACTGAAATATTGTGGAGGACAGAAAACAGTAGTGTGGGTATGCTTCAGATATATTCCCTGGCCCCAGCATTTGGCAAGGTAACTCCACTGGCACTCGGGTGCTGGCACTCAGGTGCTGGGTGTGGAGCAGAAGAGGCTGGTCGGGAGAATGACACTAACCTGAAAACTGGCAATCACAGAAGTAGGATAAGTGCTTAGAAGGGAAAAATGTTAGGCTTGTGCCACATTTTGGTACAGCACACCTCAACCTTTACGGAGGACTAGAAATGGCCCCAACGCTGTAATCCCCTGTCCGTCCCCCCCCCCCCTCCGCCCTCAGTTTAAATCCAAAGTCCTACAGTTTCCGATGGCTGAAATTTAACATGCATCCTCTAAATTGAAGCCCTGGTGCTTCTCTCAGGCGTTACTGATTGTCTATTTTTGCTCAGCATGTATATATATCCCCTGTATTAGAAAAAGAATATGTACTTTTCAGTCACAAAGTACCTACCATAATTTCTGCTAAGGGAACAAATCCAATAACAACTCTGTTGTCCTGACGAGTCTGGATTTCCTGAATGTTCCCTCTTCGTTGTGCCAGGTCTGCCAGGACAGGGCTAAGGTAATCTCTAGTCACTGTAACCTCAAGATTCATCAGGGGCTCTAATACTTGCTTATCAGCTTTCTTCAGAGCCTAAAAAAATCAGACAAATTGGTAAATGGGTTTAGGATGGAGGCTACAAACACCGTAACTACTGGTGAGTTTGATTTTAAAAGCCTACTTCTCCAACCTTCAGAGTTCAAAAGTTAACAAAACTTTCTATAAATTCTAAGCCTCTGTTTGGCTATCAGGTGTGATGTAGTAAACTTAAGAGTTAGCAATGGGAACCAGATAAACAAGAGAGTTTGGCTCTGGAATGTACCCTCACCTTTACCTGGGTTTGGGTGATCATCTTTCGTCCTGCTCCCATCCACCACTCACTTCTCACTATTACGAAAGCCTAAGATGGAGGCATTCTCATCACTGTCAAATACTGGTTCTGGGTCTCTAACCCTTCTGTCCCTGATGCCTCATTTCCTCCTCCTTTCTCCCCGGCCCCTTAATCTTACAATCATGAAAAATGGCCAAGTAGTGAAACCAAGAATATATTCTCTTTGTCATAGAAATTTCAAAAACATACCATGCATACACAGTAAAATAATCTCAGTTCTTCATAGCTAAGTAAGCCTTTAAAATCATTATCAACTGAAAGGACATCTGAAAATGTATCTAATAGCCCTTGAATGAAAATGTTACTATGCATAATGACAGTCAACAGCAAACAACTAACTTTATGAGCAAGTGTTTTGTGCCACTTCACGTGTCTTTTAAAACAAAATAATGGAGTGGGAAAAGCTAATACTTAAGAGGAAAAATGCTACAACTAAGGGAAGGGCTGAATTCTGTGTAACTTAGAAGGACATTCTGTGCGCGCAGATCTGTCCTCAGTCTTGTTTTCTCTTCACAATCTTTTCCTTGGCAACACTGCCTAATTGCTGAGCTTCAGACTTCTATGAAGCTTCCTTGGAAACTCTGAACGCACCCAGCCCACAGTATTAGTGCTCCAGCCTTGTACTGCACTGGCTTGCTTTGGGATAGTGTCTGAATATCCTACCGCAATCCAGTATGCCCCAAACTGAGCTCACCATGTCCTTTTCCAAACACTCTTTGTCTGCTCTTTCCTATTTCTGTGGATGGCATCACGAGTCTTCAGTTCACCTGGACATGCATCTTTGACTTTTTTTCTCCCAAGAAGCTGTAAAATTTCCCTTCTGTTTCGTTTCCATGCTTACGGTCCTAGTTCACACCTAGTCCATTCCCTATCCTCGACTAGCTCCCTCTTCCCAACCCTTCCTGTATTCTCATACTTACACTGCTTTCTTCAAAAACTTTATTCATCACTTCTCGAAACAACCTCAAACTCCTAAATGTACTTTTTAAAGGTTTCTCTACATTCTGCCTCTATTTTACTTTTCCAACACTATTTTTCACTACTCCCATGCCTTCATCTGATACCTACAGCTGAAGGAACTCTTTCATGCCCCCCTGTCATCACTGTGCACAAATTCTCCAAATCATCACAGCTCAAATATTAACTTCTTTCCAAAACTCCTGCCCAATTTCCTGCTTGTCAGCTTCTATCTAACAGTTTGGCTCTTTGGCTATATTTAACTCCCTTCTAAATGATAAGCTTCTAGAAGTCAAGAAAAACATATGCATCCTATATGTCCACCTCAGTGCCCAGTGCACTGTAAGCACAACATAGACGGCTCAATAAATATATGAAGCATCATTAATGTCTCGTAAGCAGAGAGGAGCGTCCTCACTAGATGAAGCTTAATAAAGGCTGGAGTGATTCCATTAGGAGCATTTCATTTAAAGTAATGAATTAAACCTAAAGGTTAAATGTAAGCCCCCATAAAGTTAATTCTTATTCTCTAGTATAATCTTAATACAAAGGCTAACCAAATCAGGAATACTTACAGGTTTTATTTTTTAAAAAGCATATTAGATTTTGAAGGACTGGCAAATATACTGGGGCTTGCAGTTACCTTAGAAACATTACATCATCTTTCAGGTTACTGTTACTTTAACATTAAAACCAATTTCAGGAGAAACTTTAAAAATTACTGGAAGGTAAATGTTTTCAACAATTTAGTCACGACTACAGGGGGTATTTCTAACTATATACTTAGGGAAATACTATTTCAATAATTTTGAAAGTATAGTGTTTTTTTTTAAATCAAAAAACTTTTTAAATATGAATCTGAACTCATGAAAGAGACACTAAGTTCAGCCTCCTTAAGTCGGGGGCTCGGTATTTAATTTTATAATTATAGATTCAAATAAGACTACAGAAAATGAGGTCTCACACTGCAAAATATTAGAAGGTGATTATAAAAGCAAGTGTTTTAAAGCAAAATCAGTCACCTATAAAACTAGAGCGTTCCCACACTGAGAGGAGTGCATGGGATCATCTTTCAGCACAGGAAGGCCCTGGCATTAGTCTAGCTCTGGCAGATACCGGGGCAATACATTCAAGGACATACCCCAGGTAACCATGCCAGAAAGACCAGACCGCTTGATGCTTTGAGAAAGGAAGATGCTTATCCTGAGTCTATTATTCAGCGATTCTGGATTAAAGTAATGTTATTTGAATAAACAGAAACTGTAATACTGGAGCCAATATTAGATTTTCATTGTCCTTTAGATTATAGTTCATCTTGGGCCAAGCTGACCCCAGAAATGTCCTCTACTCAAACCTATCAAGCTTGTTTCTAACAGTGTGTCTGGGATGGGACAAGCAGAGTTGTCATGTAAGGCAACTTGCCTATTTGCCAAAATTAGAGGATATTTCATAGCTATCTATGTTAAACGGTAATTTCTTAGATCTTTATTCAAATAAAAACCTAGTGATGAAGAAATCAAAGATTCTCCCTGGTAAAAATTCTTGTTGACTCTAAGGCTCAGGAAGCAAAGGCACAGGTCAGGCCCCACAAGCACAGCTGTCTGTGGACAGTGGTGCATTACTGGCAGGAGAGTCACCTTAAAGCAAAAAGGATTAGGGTAGTTCCATACCTTTTGTACACATCTTGAGACACAGGCAGAAATCATAGTTGAGGAGGTACCAGGATGAATTTTTAGTGAATGTAAAGTAATTGCCACATCCTGAATCGGGGATCCAAGCAATGGTCCTAGGCAAGGGGAAAAAATTTGTATTAAGACTCAATATGCAACGCAAAATAGCCAAGCAGTGTAAAGAAATAGGGAGAGGACTTCTGGTTCCTAGTTCCACATGTGAGGCGCTTGGAAGTCAACACTCTGTCCTAACAAATAAAAAGCAGAACAAACTGAAAAATCAACTCTTCTTGGATCTATTAGAGAAGGGAGGACAAAGGGCAAGCCACTGCCCCCAAAGCTGGAGAAAGAGGCGAATACAGAGAGGGAATCACAGCTTCCTGGGGCAGAAAAGGCCCTAGGAACCAGTGTCAGGGTGGGAAAACCTGAACTGTAATTGACAAATTGTTGGAGACTCAGTGTGAACAAGTTTGAGATTTAAAAACTGTAGGAGGACCCAGTCATTGGGGGGAGGAGGCCGGGGGCACAATTCTGTGAGATTTACCTCCAGAAGCTCATGCAGGTTCTTACAGTAAACATCAGAGAAAAGTCTCCTTGTGCTTCCAGCAGGGGAAACAGAAACCATTCTGAAATACGGCTGACCTTTGAACAACGCAGGGGATTAGGAGATCCGACCCCAGAGCAGACGAAAATCCACGTATAACTTCTGACTCCCCCAAAACTTAAGAGTTGGCCCTTAGGATCCATTGATTTCGCATCTGCAGATTCAACCAACTTGGGATCGAAAACAGTACTTCAGAACACTGTTCTTAACAGGCCTGCTCCCAGGGGAAGCTAGTTAACTACAGCCTAACCTGCAGGGGTACCATGAGCTCAGCCTAACTGACTTGGGGGAAGTACCCTATTCCAGTCCACTCTAGCCATCCTGTCCTCCGTAAAGGGGTGTGTGTGTGTGTGTGTGTGTGTGTGTGTGTGTGTGTGTGTGAGAAAAACAGAAATGTGTACAGTTCACAGTCCAGAGGCACAAACTCACAAGAAGACTGAGACCTAATCCTAGGGGCTACTGAACGCTTCTCCGTGCCCCACACCTCACCACATTACTATAGCCGCTCCTTTTACCCAGTACATCATGTCTGGCTATCAAGAAAAAATTGCAAGGCATTTTAAAAGGCAAAAAGCTCAATCTGAATAGAGAGAACAAGCATCACAACCAGACATGGCAGGGATGTTCGAATGATCAGACCAGGGATTAAAACAACCATGACTAATATGCTAAGGGCTCTAACAGATAAAGTAGACAGCAAGACAGAGCAGATGGGCAATGAAAGCAGAGAGACAGAAGTCCTAAGACAGAACCAAAAAGAAATGCCAGATAGAGGTAAAAGACATGGTAACAAAAATTAAGAATGACTCTGATAGGCTTATAAGCAGACTGGACACGACTAAGGAAAGAGTCTCTGAGTTATGTATCAGTGGAAATCTCCAAAATGGAAAAGCAAAGTGAACAAAAGACTGAAAAAAACAACAGGATATCCAAGGACTATGGGACAATCATAAAAGGTACACACATAATGGGAAGACATAGGGAGAAAACTACCCAAGTTAGAAAAAGACAGAAATAATCTCTAACATTAGGAGTGATTCAACGGTTGAGTGTGATACGCATGCTCACTCTCACCTGAGTGCCTTACCTTGGAGGCATGCACTGTGAATTCCATTTTCAATGGCCTCTTGCGAGGCCTTCAAAATGTCTTCACTAACACTGTCGGCGTACTCAATAACTGGCGTAACGGATGATGTTTCAATTGGCTTTGCTTCCAGTTCCACAGTCACAAGATGCCGCTTGTCTCCTAAAGTTCTATCTAAGGTATCTGTAAACAAATTGAATATAGTACCTCAGAGATTTGTTCTGGAAAGGTATGGAGGTGCCACAACTGGCAAAATTACAATCCACAACTTCAAGGTCTCATAGAAGATAAAGTGGTAGAATATATTAGTGGCACTAAATACAGTATAAAAATGTCAGAGTAAGTAGTTCTACCAAGAAAGCATCTTGCTTCCATGTTTATCAATGTTAAAAACCTGCTCTGAATGCAAGGTAATATTGCTGTAGTGTTAAGATGCTTTGAGGCAGATGATCACACAAATTTTGATATGCAGATTACACTCAATTTTTTGAAACATCTTATGTGACTGAAATTTTTAATTACAAAAGTTTTGTTTAAAAGTTAAACACTTAAGAGTACAAAAGGTCATCTAAGGAAAATTAAAAGGATTTCAACCCTGACAACCCACAAACGGTTAAATTTCATATATTCTTCCAGTAATATTATATACATTTAATATTTATGCTTTCCAAAAAGCTAGTGAAATTTCTTTTTGTAAAATTGAAAATAGTATCTCTCATTAGCTAACAACCAACAGCTTTCACCAATCTGTAATATTATACTAAAACAAAACTATGCTGTATTTATGTAAGTGACCATGTAATGCAGTGACTCATGGCCCAAATTCAAAATTAAGAATTAATTATAGTCTACAATTCTTCATAAATCCATTTCGAGCTAACTTTTATATTATGAATATTTTATACTTATAAACATATGCATAAGCTAAAAATAAAATGAACATTTAGGAAACCTAAAATTACTAAAGAAATAGAATTTTTCTAAAAACCTTCTGAAACAACCACTATCACATTGTAATTAATCATTATTATGATTTTCTTTAGAGTTATAACACATGAATGTATCTCCAAACAATATAGTTTACTTCTGCTTCATTTTGAATTTGTTATTATCTTGTATGTATTCTGCAACTTGCTTTTTCTGGCTACACATTTGTGGGTCATATGGGCTGACATGTTGATGGTGTTCATTCTTTTTCACTGCTATATAGTATTCCACTGTATGAACATGGTACAATTTATCCATTCTTCTGTCCACAAATATTTGAGCTGTTTTTTCTACTTAGTTTTCTTTTTTGCAATGCTATTATGAAGATGCTTCTATCTGTCTCCCAGTGAACATCTATAAGTGTTTCTCTACAGCACATACCTAGGAGTATAATGCTTAGTAGTAAGGTTTGCACAAGGTCAACTTCACAAGCAAGTTACCAAATCGTTTTCATAGTGGTTATACAATTTACACTCTCACCAGAAGTTTTTATAAGAGTTTTCAATGCTCAGCATCTCACCAACACTTGGCATTGTCAGATTTTAATTCTTGCCAATTTTGTTGGTGTAAAATGGCATCTCACACTTTTAACTAGCATGATCCTAATCGTTACTGAGACTGGCAATCTTTCAATATGTTCATGGGCCTTTTGGGTATCCTCTTTTCCGAAATACCTCTTTAATCTTGCTCACTTTTCTACTTGTTTGCCATGTTTTTACTGATCTTTGGAAGTTCTTTATATATTCTGGGTACTAATATTTTGTCAGTTTTATGATGCAAATATCTTCCTTCTCTCTGCTTTTGGTATTTTCTTTGCTTTCTTTATAGTATATTCTGATAAACAAATTTTTAATTTTAATATCAAATTTAGCCATCTTACTTCATAGTTTCAACTTCTGGTGTTATATAAGTCCAACCCTAGCCTGGTTACTAAGACAATTCTATATTTTCTCCCCCAAATTTGAAGGTCTGCCTCTCATAAAGTTTTGGGGTTGTTTTGGGGCATATATTAGCACTTATTTTTTTAATATTCTGTGCTCCAAGGGAGATATTACACTAAATCCTTTTTGGTTTGGAGTTTTTCAGGTCATCCTGATTCCATGAATTTAGGCTGAAAAATCCTTCAGAAGCCTGTGGTTACAAATTCTCTCTTCTTTTATGGAGAGGACTTTCCTAGTTAATTATTTCCATGAGGATGTGGCCCTCAAGTACTAGATTAGTAGCTTAGTGGCTTTGGTGCTGACTTATTTTCTGAGATTCCAGTTCTAGCTTCCTTTTTGACCTCTGGAAATTTCCATTATGTTCCAATCAGCTCAGATATTAATTTAAAAGATATTACTTATATTTTCCTAGCATTTTTAGTTTGTCCAGAAACAGAAATCCCCTTGTCATTTGCTCCAAAATTCTATGTTTAGTTTTTCAAGTTTCAGTGAAAAAGTAACCCCCTGGCCTTTTTACAAATCACTGAGTTGCTTAAAAGCACCTGGTTATCCTAAACATCTTTTCTATGTATTTGTTAACAAACCTATCCATGTTTTCTCCTTGAGGGAAAGAGCTATAACGTCATGTTCTTTTGCTTAAGGGAAGCAAATTAAAACTATCAACCATGAATTCTTACATTTTAGAAAAGAAATAAAAAACTGGACTTTCTCAAGAATACTATTGGTATAGGATTACCATATTAATTAAATAGTGAAAATTATTTTCTGCTCATTTAAAGAGTAAAAATAACATCAACTTCAAATTCTTATACTCATTCCGGTAGTAAGGATGGGGATGAGCCATCTACTTCAATGGCATTTTTCTATCCCAGGACAACTAAAACGCACATTTGCTTAACTGAGTGGCTCATCCAGTAGATATGAGTAATAATAGAATAGGGCTGTTTAAAACAAAACAAAAAGGTCCTAAGAAACAAGAACACACACACATAAAACCTGTCACAACTACTGGAAGACACCAGTGACTGTGAACCCTGTTTTATGCAACTAAACATCCGAGACAGCGAGCGAGAGAGAGAGAGAGAGAGAAACAAAAACAGCAAATTCTAAATGTTTTATTTTTTTACCTGTGGCACGAACTGAATTTAAGATGGTCTCTCGGTATGCCACCTGGAGAGGCCCTAGATAGGTTTCCAGTCCATATTCCCTCTTGATTCGGTCATGAATAATCTCAATATGTAACTCCCCCATGCCACACAGGATAGTCTCGTTAAAAAAGAAAATAAAACAAAGATCAAGGAAAAATTACGTTTACACAAAATACTATATAAAGGTATGATATCAATATGTGTATTATTCATTAATTAGAAAGTTTCTTTTGCAATTTTTTGGTTTCCTACATCAAAACACTGGTTTTTTTGTTAACTTTTCTGATTGGAATAATAAATCAATTAAAAATGAATTACTAGGCCATTCTCTCCTTATTCTATAGTTGAATTATCAGCTGGGTAAGGGGCATCTAGTGAGGACTACACTTCCCAAACACACAGCTAAGTTCTGGCCGGTGGAACATGAGTATAATTGATGCCAGCAACTTCTGGGTTGTGCCTTTAAGAAAAGAGAAAATTCCTTTTCTTAATGAAGATGTAGGCAACTGTCTCGAAACACGTGGTTGAGAGCAACGTCTTATGAATGGGGGAAAATAACCTTTCTCCCAAACATTCCCAACCATATGGGTATTTCCCAACCATCCTGGGTATCTTACAGCTTTGTGAGCAGTCAAAACTTCCAGACTAGCTTAGACTTTTATGTGACAGAGAAATTGACTTTATCTTCTATGAACCAACGTTATTTTGAGTCCTTGTAAGAACACCCAAATTTGTATCAAAACCAATCAAGACATGCTTTTTTCTTTTTAAAGCAACAATGGTTATTTCTGAAAAAGGTTTTTGTGTAGGAGAAAGAATATAGTGCAAGGAATCCATATTTGTTCCGTCTTGTTCATATGCCACCTGTGAAGAATTTACCCAAAGAGAGATCTGGCCCTTGCTCTCAGCAACTGGCAAATTATCTTTAGGCCAGGATGTTGACTGATAGAGGTGTCTTTGCTTGTCTGGGTACTTTATCCACCAGATAGTCTAACAATGTGATTTATGATGCGGGCTTTGGAATAACTATATCCGTTCCAACCTGGAGAGTAAAGGCATCAGCCCAAACCTATGGGCAGTCCTAGAGACAAAGGTCAACCATGTAGGCACTATGTGACTAAGCCCCAATAAAACCTCAACACCAAAGGCCCAGGTGAGCCTCCCTTGTTGGCAATCCTCTACCAGGAGGGTAACACATCCCTGAGGATGAAAAAAGTTTCTCATTTAGAACTATGCCCTATGTGCCTTGGCCTCATGTGTCTCTTGCTTTGGCTGGTTCTAATTTGTATCCTTTTTGCTGTAATAAAACTATAATTGTAAAGAACAACAACAACAACAAAAAGAATCACTTGGTGTATGATTGCTATACTTTAAAGAAGTAAATTATTTGAAAAAAGCAAGTTGTATTGGGTCATTGGTTAAGTCATGAAGCATTTTTGCATTGAAAAACATAGAAAAATACGTCATGACTTTCCCAACAACTCAATAGAATAATATAGAGTGAATTGTTATATATTTGTACATACATATTTGGAAAAAGTATACTGTGTTTTATAATATAGCACAGCAGAAGAGTGGATGTTTGAAAAAGTGTGGGGACGGCCGATTAGTTCAGTTGGTTAGAGCGCCGATTAGTTCAGTTGGTTAGAGCGCAGTGCTCACAACAGCAAGGTTGCCAGTTTGATTCCCGCATGGGCCACTGAGCTGCGCCCTCCACAACTAGATTGAAATACCTCCTTGACTTGGAACTGATGAGTCCTGGAAAAACACACTGTTCCCCAATAAAAAAAAATAAAAAGAAAAGAAAAAGTGTGAAAGAGCATTAACCAAGTTTTCAGTGGTTACCTACGTAGAATAGGATTAGAGACCGAAAGGGAAACTTTCTTTACTTTGTTTTTTTAAAACACAAAAGTTTTTAAGTGCTGTTGTAACATTCAGGATCAATTAAACTAAATTACTACTCATTTAGCTGGCATTTGGGAAAATAAAGTACCCTGTATTTTCCATAGTTTATCCTTTTAAAAGACAAATTTTAAATCTTTTTAAGGAACCTCTTCTAAAACCTTATGTAAGCCTTCCTAAAGGCAGACGTAGAATAAACATCTGTTCTGTGCTGCAATATGCAGCCCGGTTCTGTACCTAGTATAGAACTCTATTTCCTCCCACATTGTTAGGTAGCAATCCATCAATTCTCACCCATCTTATGTGTATCACTGTCATTCAAAGCACCTTGCATTCTCCCTTTAGTATGCTGCTTCCATAAGCCTTAGTTTAAAAGGCTCAGGGCTTTGTCTTGGGGTGAACCTCATTTGAAAATTTCACAAAACACTAACTTCTGGCAGGTGTAAATGTTGGAGAGTAGTTGATATAAGTGCAGTGCGCTTATTTTGAGGAATAAAGGACAATTTGTCTATTTAGCTTGACAGTCAACGTAATAATAAGACATTTATGAGAGACCCAAAAAAGAAAAAAAAATTTTTTTCAGGGGCATAGACCAATCAGTGATTGGTAATAATATACCTACTTGCCCCGAGTCAGGATCTAGCCTCACTTTCAAACTGGGATCTTCACGCTGAAGGCATTTCAATGCATGATCCAAATCTAGGAGACAAACAATAACCGTTATCTCTACATTTCATTTTTTAAATAATATACCATATGTTCTAGTGGAGAAAATAGATGTATAAGCAATCAAATTTTGAAGAAGAAAATTCCAAACAGCCATAAATGTTTTGTAGAGAATAAAACAAGAGGATAAAACAAGTGATGAGAGGTTACTTGAGACTGGGTGATCTGGGAAGGCCTCTCCAGGATGATTTAGATAAAGACACCAAAAAGAATGACCTTGTAAGCAAAAAAGAATTCCAGGAAATGGCTGTGGAAGAAAGGGTTTGCTACTGGAAAAGTAACAAGGCCAGTATAGCTGGATGCTGGTGGGAAGAAGGGAGAACAGCATCAGATGAGGAGGTAGATGCGTGGCAGGGATCACATCATGCAAGGTCTCATAGGCCATGGTGACGAGTTTGGATTTGCACTGGGAAGCCAATGAATGGTTTTAAGTGAGTCAGTAAAATCATCTGATTATGTTTTGCAAAGATCAATCAAAGAGCTGACAAAAAAGCAAAATGCCTCCAGGAACACAAGCAATAATGAGAAACTGACAAAAGGAAGATAAACTACATCATGAATAAAGAGATGCTAAAGTGATCATTCTACGATGAATTACCCTAACCAAAGAGGAAATAAGAATATATTACTTGCATTAAGTATGCCATCTAAAGTAAAGTGATACTTTAATACAATCAATTAAGTCTCTGTCTTAATAAATACACCCTCTGTCTTAATAAAAGATGTTAGAAGTTTCAGAGATATAAACTGCAGCTGAAGAAAAGAACTGAGCAATGAATTAATGAACCTTATCACACATTTAAAGTGTTCTTGGATATATAAACCAGGCCTTCTAGACCTGCACTGTCCAAATGGTAACCACTAGCCATCTGTGGTGGGTGTTACTGGTTCAAATTGACATGTGCTGTAAGTATAAAATACCACCAGGTTTCAAAAACTTAACATGAAAAAAAAAAAGTAAAATTTCTCAATAATGTTTTATATTGATTACATGTTGAAATAAAATTTCTGATATACTGGGTTAAGTAAAATATATTATTAAAGTCAATTTTGCCAACTTTTTTTAATGTGGCTGTAAGACAATTTTAAGTTACATATGTGGATCATGTTATATTTCTACTGAATAGTGTTGTTCTAGACTCTTGATATTCCAGAGTGGGGTCCAAAGACCCACAACATTGACTCAATTGTTAGAAATACAGTCTCAAGTTCCAGACTGAATCAGAATTCACATTTAAAAAGAACCTCAGGAGATGTATATGCACATCCAAGGTTAAGAGACATTATTTTATTTTATTTATTTTTTTAGGGGTGTGTGGGGGGGGTGTTGACCAGTTAGCTCAGTTGGTTAGAGCTTTGTGCTGATAACACCAAGGGTGCCAATTCAATCCCCACATAGGCCACTGTGAGCTGCACCCTCCTTAAAAAAGAGTCAAGTATGCCATTGTTGCAAGAGGCACTATTTTAGATAACATTTATTGTTAAGCATCTACAGATACTCAAAGAAAGTAACAATGCTTATGACACTTGGTGGCTTTTGGATGAAAAGAAGTAATTTTATTATAAAATAAATTCATCAAAATATTTCTAAAGAATCTACCTTTTAGGAGCTTACTGGGATGAAAACACAGCATTACAACACAGGGTGTCAAGTGCCATAATAGGACCATGGGGTAAATAATGGAAGGACAATGGAAGCACAGGGAAAAGATAATGTAGATCCGCTTCCAGGAAGTCTAAGGAAAGGAGGCTCTGGATGGCCCCTACTCTCTGGGGCCTAGGACCTCTAAGCTAATGCCCATTAATCAGACTTGCTTTGGACACCAAACTTTTCTCCTGAAGTAGTTAGTTGTTAAAGAATTGAGGCCTAGATTTAAAATTGGCTGGTGCAACTTAACTGCAATCTGAATTTAGGTGCCCACATTACCTTTGAAATATGAAATGACTTTCCAATATATTCAAAAGAACTCACAAGTCATTTTGTTTGGGCAGTTCCTGTCCTTACATGCCTGGCAAACCTTGATAGAACTTGCTTGGTCAACCTTGATGTCACTGGGTGCCACATTCATGTTATCCGATCTTTTTCCAGAGTCAAGACGAGCGTTTTACGGTAACAAGAAAACTGACGTTTTACCTGTTTCAATTTAAATGCTATTCCTTTACCAACTGGACAAGAAAAGATCCAGCTTCCTTCAGTACTTGGGGGCTATCTTATACCTGTACTCATATGTCTTTCATGTTAACTCCAGCTGGAGAGATAAGGAACTGGAACCCCAAGCTACTTGGCTAGGAATCTTCCTTTCTTTCCTACTAGGTACTCAAAAACACACGGGAAGCAAAAAAAAGGTTGCTTTTGTTTTTCCATAATCTGTGAGCCCAACTTGTTTCAAGAGGGAGAAAATGACTTCTCATGCTACCTCTAGAACTGGAAGGTTTGTCCTTTAACAGGAATTCAGTGAGAACTTCAAAAAGAGGAGATGTTTGAGCTGAGACCTAATGACCTAACATTTCCCAAGCAGATGAATTCAGGGGTGTCATCATAATCAAGAGAGAACGAAGAAAAAGAAATAGCAATATAAAAAGAGCATGGCATCATCAGGAAATCAGAACTACTTTTATTATGGCAGGGTAAGGTGTGAGTAGTTATTGTTTTTATTTTTGTTTGGGTGAATGAAGAGGGTTCGGACCAAGGAGGAAGTTTCAAGAAATGCAGCCAGGCAAGAAAACTGGTGTCAGGGACTACGAGTAGCCTTCCATTCGATTCTGCTGCTGCCTAGCTAAAAGACTGCATTTACTATACTGCTTTGCAACTGGGTAGCCATATATCTAAGAAATCTTAAAAGGGAAAGGGGTACATCTTCTCTCTCCCCCTTCCTCTTTTCTGCTGTCAGGAACTCAATGTAATGCCCAAGGCTCCAGCAGCCATCATGCGATGACTAAGAATAGGAGCTCTGCAGGACGCAAGATTGGAGCCTGGGTGCCTGATGACATTGTGGACCCACCCTCCAGTCCCTGGGCTACCAAATCAAGGCGTATTTTACGAGAGGGAAATAAACTTCTGTCATTAAAGCAACTGTTATCTGGGGGTTTTCTGCCTTATTTAACCAAATATAACTGGAAATGATACAGCTGGAATCAGGAGCTTTATATACCATACTAAAGAGTTTGGGTTTGTGCTATAAGTAATGAAATGCCACTGAAGAATTCTGAGCAAATATGCTGAAGAACAAAGTATGTAACTCAAAGAGGTCAAACGACATTAACCATGGTATATAAATGTCTTCACTGAGTTCTAAAGGTTGAGCTAGAAAATAAGGAAAAGTAGCAATCTTATAAATGATGATGAGAAACTGAATCAGTTATGAATTGGTTACTGTCTGATCTAACATACTGAAAGGGCATTTCTAAGGCCGATTACAGTAATACCTTTGTTTGCAAACATAATTCGTTCCAGAAACAAACTACTCGTATTGCAAGACATTGCTCGTTTACCACGTTAAAATGTATTAGATATGTTTGCTCATCTTGTGTAACACTCGCAAACCAAGTTACTCGCAATCCAAGGTTTTACTGTACTTAGAATCCCATAGATAGTACCACAAGAACAAGAGTAAGAAAGAATGCGATATGAGAAAAACAGCCAAAATATAAGAAAAGCAAAAAATGAATGAAGTACGTAAAAATCAAAACATCTTAAATAAAAAGCTGGGCCGGCCGAGTGGCTCAGTTGGTTAAGAGCTCGCTCAAGAGTTTGAGCTCTGAGCAACAGCGGTTCGAGTCCAGCCCGAGCTGAGCAGCCACTGAGCTGCCAACAGGTAGCAGGATGGCTCAGCTAAAAAAAAAAAAAAAAAAAAAAAAAATTTAAATAAAAAGCTAGACTAATCACAAGAAATACTTACCAATAAATTCTGATAAAATTAAACTCATCACATAAGAAATATTTTAAGGGTATAATGCTATTTTATCTAACTTATCAGAGCACTAATTAATTGATACACCAAGACTATTTGTACCTGGCTGCTTAGACACAGAAGGGGGTTCTATGGTACAGAAGAAAACAGGTTCTGGAATCTCAACCCCAGCCAATAAAAGTCTCTCTGCTTCACTGTTTTGTCTATGCTTCTTTTCTCCCTCTCTTTCAGCTCGACGAGCTGCAGCTAATGCGCTGGACTTGGATGAGACAATGGTGTCTCCAGTGGCAGTCTGCAATCAAACAAGATAACTTGGAATAAAACAGGCTGTTGGCAAATACCCAGCTTCCACCAAGAACCATGAAATAAGAAAAAATTTAATGTAGCACTTTCTTTTCATCAGTACTTAGAAAAGAGACAAATTCATAAAGCTCATTATAAGCTCATAACTTTGCACAAATAAAGCTAATTTAACTTGTATAAAAATTCTATCCAAAATACTGCTGTAATAAATTCTAACAATAACACACACACACACATACACTACCTATCCAAATTTCATTTGGCAAAACAAATGTACTTTCCTAAATTTTCAATTATGTAAATAAAGACAGGTTAGGTAGAAGTCCATTAGTGTTTCATCACCAGTAAAAAATTATTACTAATTTACAGAAAATCCTCTATTAAATAAAATATGTAATTAACCAGAATACTCTTGACCATACAAAACTGATGGCGTCCTTGGAGACTCATTATTTTTTAAAACTAAAATTTCACTTTTAAGCTTTTATATTATGCAGTTGTGTGTCAGTTTTCTTCTCTGTGAAGATATTTCTACTGAAGTGGTGGTCCAGACTTCTATAACTCCTTCAAATACATCGAAGGAGCTACTGTCTTCAGGTAAACAAAGAAGAGACTGCAATGCTAGAAATCCAATTTCTGGACTGTGGGAATTTTCTAACAGATCTTAAATCTTGCAATTAATCATAAAGAGTTTAAAATGTTAAAAGTAACAATATTTATCCTAAATGCCAAATATACCCAAGTGTAATAAGAAACTGTATTTGACTTAATCCATATATAAGTGAAAGTCTTTAGTTTTAACCCACCAAAACATATACAGAGGGTGCCATTTAAATGTATACACATTTTAAGAAAGGAAAACTGCATTAAAATTGTAATATTCAATATATACCGGTAACAAAAGATGAATACAAGTCACATTTGACTTCTGCAATTAGAGGAGGTGCTCAAAGTGGTTACCATCAGCATCCAGACACTTCTGATTACGGTGAGCTACTGCTTGAGCAACGTTGACCAAAGTGTCCACTTGTATACATTTTCTGGCACCCCCAGTATATAGACAGCATTAAGTATTTTCATCCATTCATCCTACAGAAGTCATGGAGTGCCTAAATGCACTGATCTAAGGACTAAGAATAAAGAACAAACGAGACAAAAATCCTTGCCCTCATGGAGGCTTCATTGGCAAAATATCTTCAGTTATTATACCTGATTGGTTATGAGATTAAATTGTCTGCAATGATCAAGGTAGGAAAAAAACCCAATGGGAATAATGCAGTATTTCATATAAACTTAAAACAGATGTATGTATCCATGAATAGTGTATTATTTTACTTGAATTTGAACTTTATATGAATACAATCTATACTGTTAATAGTCTTCTGTAATTTATTTTTCTTTCTATTCAAGTATGAGATTCAACCATGTTGATGAATATGCTACAATATTCATTATTCCACTATTGATGGATATTTAGATTGTTTATGGTTTTTTGTTACTAAAAAATGCCTACTTTTAAACATATAAGCTGTTATTTCCTAGAGAAACCATACGATCACTTACATGTTTAAGCCCAACAGTCAAAGCAATGTTACCAGCAGTCAGTGAAGGGATTTCTACATGTTGGTCAGCAAATGGCAAAAGCAGACGACTTATTCTCTCCCTGTAAAACCATGATTTATATTAGTAAAAGTTTTTTTTAAAGAAATGAGTGATGTTTTAGAAAATAACCTAAGCTTCTACTTACGTGCAGTTTCCATTAATATTATGGATGGCCAACTGGGGTTTTATCATGCCTGAGTAAATGCGCATAAAAACCAGTGGTCCTCGCTGCTTGTCATGGAGAACTTTAAATGCCAGTGCACATAAGTCACCCTTATACCACTGCCTATAAAATTAAGGTGACATTCCAGAAAAGTCTTTAAAATATGCTTCACACACACAGACACACACACACACACACACACACACACACAGAGATCAGATCATAACCATTGTACCAACTTAACCCTGATGTCCTGCAAAGATCCTTCATATCTTGTAGTTTAGCTAACCAGGCTGATTAAATAACATCAGTACCATGTACCGCTCCTCCTCCACTGGATTAAATTATGTAATAGAGATCTTATCATTAATTCCCCAAAACTAAAAATTATGCGTTCTCTTCCAAATTATTATCTCTAGTCACAAATAATTCCATTGCCAAGAGTTCCCTCCTCAAAAAATATACTTAGGAACATCATACCACTTTCACAAAAAACCTGTACAGGGGGCCAGCCGAGTGGCGCCATGGTTAAGAGCTGGCTTGGGACGCCAGAGGGCCCCGGTTCAGATCCCACATATGAGGGCCAGTGACATTGCCCTCTACAGCTAAGATGCTAGACAACAGCTCAACCTGGAGCTAAGCTGCTGTGAGTCGCCAGCGACGGCGTAGGCTGCAGCCCCTGTGGCAGTGGGTTGCCACGGGCTACCGTGTGTAGCCAGCAGCCAGCGTGAGCAGCCAGCAGTCGCAGTGAGCGGCCGTCCAGAAGCCGGCGACTGATCTGCCTCGCCCGGGAAGAGCGCAATGATGGTGCCAAATTTGGGCCAGTGAAGCAACGTCCTCCACAACTAGACTGAAGAACAAAACGACAGCAACTTGTCTGTTCCCCTTCCCCAATTTCCCAGCGCTGTTCCCATCCCCCCCATTCCCCAATAAAAATCTAAAAAAAAAAAAAAACCTGTACGGGGAAAACAAAAGGGAGCTTCCCAATTGCTGCTTTTAAGCTCTCCTCCCCCTTTTTCCCCAGTTACACAACCACACGCATCTGCACTACAAACTTGTTTGCACTTGTTTACATGCCAACATTCTTACAGAATGATGTCCTTAAATTGGTGCGCATTGATAGGTTACAGAAAGTTTAAATCCCTTTGAAACTGCCAACTTTTGTGCACAAGCACATTTTTCTGAGGAAAAGCTCCATATTTTCAGTAGTTTCAAAGGAGTCCATGACTCAAAGTAGGTTAGACAATTCTATTATAGAAATTCTCCAATCTTATCCCTATTTCTTCCAGTTTTTAACTTTATTTAACGAATACTTATATAGAAGCTTACAATATACTAGGCACTGTTCCATGTGCTTTATAAATATTAACTCATTTGATGTAAAAATCCTATGAGATGGTCCTACTCTCTGCACTTCACAGATGAGAGGTTAAGCAACTTGGAAGAGCTGGGATGTAAATCCAGGTAGTACACAGTCCAAGCTCATAATCACTTCACTATAATGCCTCTCCAATTGAGAGGCATAGTGATTAATGTCCTAGTTAAAAGGATTCAAATCCACTTTTGTCTGCCATTTTGCACAACACTCGCTCACATTTTAGAGGATTTATTACTAAGTACAAAGCTGTTAGTGACAACAGGAGTAAAACAAGGACCTTTTTCTTTAAGGCACAAAGTATTTTGAGATTATGAAAAATCTTGAAATCTAGAATAGATATAAATATATCTACAGAATATTTATCAAATGTCCCCCAGTATACTACTTTTTTTTTTTTAACTAAGATGACAGGGTCAATTTTACACAGCAAAAAAATCCATATTTTTAGCTTCATCTATAAACATAGGTTATGAGAGATAATAACAAATGCCCCTTTCAAGTAAAACTTACTATGGCTCTATATTATGATATTCTTCCCCGATGTTGTTAAAAAAAATGATGATTCAACTACCCTTTATGAAAACGACCTATCTGCTCACCTGTTTTCTCAAGACTCTAAGATTTTAATAAAGAACCTTGCACACTTACAGAAATTCATAGTTGCGCTCTTCAGGCGAAGGCAGGTACATAGTAATAGCATCTAACAAGGGCTGGACCCCTTTGTTTTTCAGGGCACTTCCACAGAGCACAGGCACTGCTGTCTGAGCCAGTGTTACTCTGTGTATTGCAGTCTGTAGCTACAAAGCAGAGATATAAGTATTTCATGTGACCATAAAATGGTCGCATATACAGTATACTTGTCTCAACCAAAATAGCTCACAATTAGATGCCTTTCTTAACCAACCATGTAAAACAGCACTCCTCACACACATTATTCTTTATGGCCATATTCTTTTTTGTTTTTCTTTATAACATTAATCACTACCTGGCATATTAGATACATATTTATTAGTTTATTGTCTGTCTCCCCACCCTCTAGAATGTAAAATCCATAGGAGCATTATAGTCAAGTTCAATGAAAACACTGCTAAATCCCCAGAAACTAGAAAAGTGCTTAAAATAAAGTATGAATTTAAAAATATTTCTTGAATGAGTTAATACACTTGCAATTTAACCTTCATAACCTAATAAAGGAACTGGTCAGGAATTAAAAATACAAATACGAGTTACAATTTCTCCAAATGAAATTAGCTTTATATTAAATAAAATCCAAAAGAAAATGAGAAAGTAGAAAAAATATTTTTAAAAGACCTCAGAAACCAAGAAAAGCTTGGGTGTGCTTACAAACTATTAATAAGAGAAATGATGTGTCAGTTCTACTGTAGCTTGTAAGCGCTTTCAAAACAGAAATAATATTATGTGACTATAGGGCATAATAAACATCACACTTAAGCATCCAAATATTAAACAACAAAAAATTTCAAAATTACGGCATTTCACTCAAAAGAAAAAAATATTTTTCCGCCTCAATAACTTCAAATGGCTCAAAATTAATCTACAGATTGTGTGTTTTTCTTTAATTCTTTTCAGGAAAAATAACTAAGTGAATTTTCTGGGTCCATTTTGGACACCATTATGCATATTACCACTTAAAAACACTTTCCTTGTAATTCTTATGTTTCATAAAGGAAAATAAAAAGTTTGCCAAACTCATGGTGGAAGTTCCCTGGCAGAAAAAAACCCAGAAATGTCTTGAAGAAATCTGTCATAATTCAATTACTATCAATATTGTACTCGCCTAGTCTCTGGTTTAATATATTTCAAAATGAAACAAAGGAAGGTCTGTAATGTGTTTCCATTAAAAATTAAAACAGGTTCAGAAATAATGTCCTAAGTAAAATGATAATTGTAATAGTCTAAAAAAACAGTAAATTTTAAATACAAAATTTCTACCTGTGATTTCCCTAAAAATACTTAGAGAAATGATCACAACGAAGTGAAAAGGCTGAGAATGAATAATTAACTTCTGATTCAATACAAGTAAAAATGATTTAATTTCTAATTTTATAAAGTATATTTAAAATAGTAAATCACTGCCATTATTTAAGTGTTAGTAGTGACTTTATCTTAATGTTCTAAGTTTTGTTTAGACCAGCATTTTCTAATGATATGCAAAGTTGAACAAAAACCAAAAAACAGAGAAAGCAAACCACATCTAATTACTTGGTCAAAGTAAATGAATAATAAAGTTTACCTTTTCAGCTGGTAGCAAATCAAAATTTTCACTAAATTCTCCTAAAACCAGGTCAGCAAACTCATCATCCAAATCTGCAACCTATAAAAAAAGGCTTTAGTTTTACAGTTTGCATTTGTTGCCACAACTATTAAATCTAAATATCATAAATATACATTATCCAAATATTTCAAGACAGGTACATGATCTAACTTATCCAGGCCAAGGACCTCTTCCTATCTTCTAAAAGATAGTTTTTCTTTTAAAGAGGATTGAAAATTGAAGATATGCTATTATGAGTTTCTAAATTCATGGAAAGCCAGATAAAGCGTCTCAGTAAAGTGCTGTCTACTCAGGAGTGCTCAAAAGAAATTTTTAAAAAAATGTACAATTTACAGCCAAAGATAACATATACAGTGGATTGCTGTGTTTAGATAAAACTGGGTCTTAGTTCATAAAAAAAGTTTCATCTGGTCCTCCTCTAATATTTTCAATGTTCACGAGATCTCCTAAGACAGTCAAACTGAAAGAACTAATCTTATTGTAACTCAAATTGCACTAAGGGAATAAATTTAAGCTGGGAGTCAAAGACATCATTTCAAAATAAAAATGAAATTACCTAATTTATGTTTCATAATCATCTGCCATTATAAAATAGAAGAATTCAGCTGACAAGAAAATTAATTAAAGTTTCAAAAGTTTATAACAGTACAAAGGAGCAAAACATTCAAACTTGGTGAGAAAAACAAACATTTAACAGTTAACTATAGCAGAAATCTGAACCATCCTCCTGAAAAAGCTGGAGTCAAACTTCCCGGAAATGACACCACTACTTACTTATTCAAAACCTTTGGTGAAGTTACGCCACCACCTCTCCTTTCCTGAGTTATTCATGGAGATAACGCTAGTACTCACCTTAGCTGTTGTGAAGATTAAATAACCAATTCAAATTATGCTTCCAGAACATACAGTAAGCATACAGTAAGTATTATTTTCACTGTTCACCTTTAGAACACAGGAAATTGATTCCCGTCCACACTAATCTTATCCTCTAATTAAAAAAAAAATTTTAATTGTGGTATAATATAACATAAACAAAATTTACCATCTTATAATTTCTAAGTGAACAGTTCAGTACTATTAAGTATATTCATGCTGTTGTAACACTAATCTCCAGAACTTTTCCATCTCACAAAACCAAAACTCTATACCCATGAGACAACTTTCTCACTCTCCCCACTTTCCCCCAACCCTGGCAACTATCATTCTACTTCCTGTCTCTATGAATTTAACTACTCTAGATACCTCATATAAGTGGAATCATACAGTGTTTGTCTTTTTGTGAGTGGCTTATTTTAATTAGCATAATGTCCTCAAGGTTCATCCACATTGTAGCATGTGTAAAATTTCCTTCCTTTGTAAGACTGAATAATATCCCATTGTGTGAACATACCACATTTTATTTGTCCATTCATCTGTTGATGAACACCATCCACCTTTTGGCTATTGTGAATAATGCTGCTATGAACAAGGATGTGCAAATATCTTTTTGAGACCCTACTTTCAATTCGTTTGCATATATACCCAGAAGTGCAATTGCTAGATCATATGTTAATTCTATTTTCAATTTTCTGATGAACTACCCTACTGTTTTCCACAGTGACTGCATCATTTTTTTTCTCACCAACAGTGCAATTTCTCCACATCCTTACCAACACTTATTTTCTTGGTTTTTTTTTTTTTTTTTTGATAGTAGTCATCCTAACAGGTATGATGTGGTCTTACTCTCTAATTCTATACATATGTATGTTTTTATTGTAATGAGCACTTTATTATTATCTACTGATAGTATAGAATGAAAATAAAGAAAATTTGAGACTATCATGTCCTAGAATAATATGAGATATGTATGCAAGTTTATGTTGGCTCCTCAACTAGATTACAAAATCCTTCTTAGGTTTATGCTGATACATCTTTTGTATAAGATAAAGCAAAACAATAAAACCTCAAAACAATAAAACCAATTACGTACCCAATTATTAATAAATATCAATTCCACTTTTATTCTTTTTATGTGCCCTCCTTCCCCAAATTAGAAAAGCACTTTAGCAAAACGCATGAGAGCTCTAGCTCTAAATCGAGACAGACCTGGGTTCAGATTCCAGGTCTGCTATTCATTAGGTGGATGACAACTTACTTAAGCATTCTAACGCTCTGTTTCCTCACCCATAAAATGAGAATATAGGTCATTGTGAAGATTAAATAACATATGTAAAGCACTTAAGGTAATCATCATAGTAGGTCTTCAGTAACTATTGGGTCGTCGGGAAAGTCATGACGCATTTTTGCATTGAAAAACATAGAAAAATACGTCATGACTTTCCCGATGACCTAATATTATCCACTAATAAAAATGACAATCATTACTATGTTAATGATAGTTGATAATTACTCTGTATTATAATGGGAAATAATTACTTCAAAAATAACTTCATATAAAAGATGAATGAAAAAAATTATGAGAGGATCTATTTTGACCAGTTTAATTTAGAAGTGAAAAATCAAAGGGTTCAGACTCAAATGTTCTTCTCACCATAAAATTCAGGGAGTTTATTTAAGGTATGTTTTATTCATTGTTCTATATACTAACAATGGCATATAAATATTAACAATCTTACTATTTTCTATTAAAATTTTGAGAGTAGATGAGGTCCAGAATTATATTAACTACAAAAATTGATGGTTTTAAAATTTTCTAAATAATTTGACATCTGATAAAGTAAAAGATGGACATACCCTTTGACCCAGCAATTCCACTCCTAGGTTTAACCCAAACAAATTTTTGCGTATGTACACAAGGAGATAGAAAGGTATTCACAGCAACACAGTAATAGCAAAAAAAAAAAAAAAAAAGGTAACCACCTCAAAGTTCACCCACAGGAAAACAGACAATAAATTGTGGTATGATCATATACTGGAACACGATATAAGACTGAAAATGAAGTATAACCGCACATAACATGGACGAATCTCCAACATAATGATGAATGGTGTAATAAAGTACAAACAGTATCATTCCATTTATGTAAAGTTCAAAAACATGAAAAACTAAGTTCTTTAAGGATACACACATTTGTCAACTATAATGAAAAGCAAATGAAAGATAAATACTACAATTAAGTTAGTGGTTGGGGAATAGATAATTAGTGAAAGGGAGAGAGATATGAACAGGAAGTAGCACAAAGCCTCAATAGTATTGCTAATATTTTCTCTCTTAGGTGGGTGGTGCATACATTGGTGCTCATTTTGTTATTCATATACTTTACATATGCCATATGTAATTTTATATTAAATTTCACAACAAAAATATTTTAAAAGTTTCTAAATATTTATACAATTTTAAACTCAAAGTATTTATTTTACTTGTTCAATTAAGGCGTTCCTTGCTTCAGTTGTCTCCTTCAGCAATTTAGGATCACTCATTTCCGAGAGGGGTTTTCTCTCAAAGTCTTTTCCATCACCTGAACTGGGGTTCCAAAGAAGTTTTTCTTTACTGATTACATCCACCACTCCTTTGAAAGTCTTGGCTTCACCAATTGGTAACTATAATGCAGAGTGAGATTATTATTAAATAATCAATTAGAATGGCATTGGTGATAAATCTTATCTTTCTCCACTTTTTCCCAAATGTCTATTATTATTACCATAATCTTACCTATTTTTATTTACAGCCCAACTTCTTCCAAAAAGGATCTAAGATAGCTTCAGAAATATATATGTCACAATAAAATAAACTGATGAGGAAACTAAGAAGGAACTGTTGCTATTAATCAACCAAATATTAATCAACCAACCTGTAAAAGCAAAGGCTTTGCCTTCAACTTTTCTCTGATGCTTTCAACTGCATAGTTAAAACTGTAGAAAACAAAATAATTACATAGTTTAAAATGTTAAGATTTTTAAAACACGTTTAAGAATGTTCTCTAAAATTATAACCCTTTTTATTGTTCCTAATGTTCACCATTTAACAGTTTTCCATAGGACAACATCATAAATAAACTTTTGATGTCAACTTCAGATAATAGTGACTGATTATTCACCATAACCCTGCCACACAGGTATTTAGGGTATTATTATTATTATTATTATTATTATTATTAGCGTCACCTTAACCAAAGCTTGAGGTTAAGGTTACATGAACTAATCAAGATCACAGATAATAAATTGTCATTAGGATTCAATGCAAGATTTGTGATGACAAGTCAAAGATTCTTCTAACAACTGCATTTGCTATCATACATGGCTATCAGTTTTCTTCCAAGAGCCAGCCTGACTAATTTTCTATACTTTTATCTTAGGCATTCTTAATATCATCTGCTACACTGTGCATCCTGTGCTAACACTGGGGTTGGCAACCTATGGCACATATATCATCTTTGGCACATGGGCTGATTTATACACGAGTACATGCAAATCATCCTGGTCCCAATCAATGTCTTTGAGAACCAGCCTAGTATCTAGTCATCTCCCTCCCTATCATCACAGGTACTGATAAGTCAGTAAAAGTAGTACTTGCATCTAGCTCAAGGAACTCCAAACAGAAAAGGGTCAGAACTTGAACTTCACACATTTTGAAGGTTGTGCTTTTACTCACCAACACAAAAGTCCTTTAAACCAACAGCCTTAGAATTACTGTTGAGTTACATAAACACAAAGCATATTGTGTTGTCTGGGGGGGAAAACAGTTTGTTTTGTTTTTGCCACTCACACCACAGACCAGGATCTCACCCTAGAATCTTTTCCCCAGAATCTTTTATATTCTTGATTCTCTCTCTTTACATTTTCTCCAAATCCTTCAGGTATTCTTGATTCCCTGAATTATTTTCTCAGCATAACGTATCCATTTTGGATTACCACTCTGTAAGTCTCTGAGCATTAGCATAACATTGCAGCATTAACTCTTTTGCCCTACATGTAGGTCTTAAAACATCTACCTTCTTCTCCCAGTTCCCTTTAATAGAGAGCATATTACCCAGTAGCTAAAGAAAACCAGGGGACAAGGAAGAACATTGTTCTCTGAGGCAGCTGGAGGAGACAATTCTGTAACCTCTACCTTTAGCAGTGATAGGGCGCATGGTAACCTTCAGCAGTATGTACAGGGACTATATTACACAGCTCTAACTAGAACCAGTGAAATCAGCAAGACATCACTCTGTCAGGATCCTAGAAAATAGGATACAGCTTCTCTACATTAGAATCAGGGTGATTCACATCCACCAGCTCTCTGTTAATCCCACATTATTACTTAACCTATGACTTAGCTGCTTTCAATTTTTTAAAATGATATTGAATAGAGATTTCACAGACTATTTAGTCTATAGGGAATAGCTGTTTCTAAATTTAAGTTATAGTCCACTAGAAAGCTCAAACTGTATTCTTACTTTAATATGCCAACGAAACACACTTTAAATACCTTGCTCCAGTTTTGTCCATTTTGTTTAAAAAACAGATTCGAGGTATCTTGTGTTTATCAGCTTGCCTCCATACTGTGAGAGTCTGTGCCTAAAGCAAAGAACACATATTGGACAAAAATAACTTACTAAACATGAAATAAGGAGGTTTAAGAATCTACTGTAACATGGAATTAGGCCCTATTCTAGCACAGAATTAGTGCCACTGCACTTACACTTCTAGAGTCACTCTTTTGCTATCAGGTTAACACAGCGAAGAACATAATGAAGTCTGATGAAAAGTATGCTTCAAACTGAGATAATACTTTGGGTGAACTAGGTTGCTACACAAAGAGAATTAACACCTGGGAGGTACTGAGAGTTATGGAAACAGGACTTAACCAAGACTCAGAAGACCTAACTTCTGTCTGGCTTCACCTTACCTAGCACATGTCACCCAACAGTGAACTTGTTAGTTTTCTGATTTGTGAAATACGGACTTTTGCCTTAATTAATTCAGATAGTTGTGATGTAAAAATAGTAGTATACTGTAAAAACGCTATTGTAATTAAGAGCATGTGTATTTTTATTGTGACTGCTTGAATGTTCATGTAAACTGAAGAGGATTTAAAAAGGGAAAAAGAAGCAAATACCTGTATTTATAAATTGCAATTCTCATATGCTTTTCTATTTGATTCCTTTTAATTCTATTTTTGTATACATTAGATATAAATAGTTTGAGTTTATTATAACATCTTTGCCTAGAAGTTAAACAGCCTTGAAACAGAGCATAAAAAGCCTAATGTGCTGCCATTACTTAAAATAAAAGCCAGTTTGTAATCTGATATTTTATTAGGTAAAATTTATAAGTAAATATACAATAAAATACACAGCTCTTAAGGGTACAGCTCAAAGAGTTTTGATAAATGTATACACTCGTGTAACTACTACCCCAATCAAGACATAGAACGTAAGAAATTTTTCTTATGTCCCATCCCCAATAAGCAACCAATTTTGATTTCTGTCACCACATATTCATTGTCTACTCTTGAACCTCATATAAATAGCATGGCTTCTTTCACTCAACATAACATTTGTGAAATTCATTCATGTTGTTGGGTACACTGGTTCACTCATTTTTATTGCTACTTTTTTGTATAAATGTATTAGTTTGTTTTTCGATCCATCTGTGGGTACACATGGGTTGTTTCTAGTTTGAGGCTACTATGAATTCAGCTGCCATACACATTCTAAAGAAGTCTATAGTAGACAAATGTTTTCATTCCCTTGGATAAAGCTATAGAGAATTACTGGGTTATAAAACAGGTGTATATTTAACTTTATAAAAAACTGACAGGGCTGGTCGAGTGGCCGTTGGTTAGGAGCTGGCTTGGGACGCCAGCTCTGAGCAACAGGCCACAGTTTGGATCCCACATGAGGGCCAGTGACACTGCGCCCTCTACAGCTAAGAAGGTGAACAACAGCTCGACCTGGAGCTGGGCTGCCATGAGTCGCTGTCGACAGTGTAGTCTGCAGTGGGGCTGGCTGGCAGAGGGCGTGAGCTTTCATGAGCTGCCGTGAGCGGCCGTCCAATGGCCAGCGAGCGATCTGCCTCGCCCGGGAAGAGCGATACCGGGAAGATCACAATACCAACATGGGCCAGTGAAGCGCCGTCCTCCACAAGTAGACTGAAGAACAAAAGGACAGCAACTTGTCTGTTCCCCTTCCCCGATTCCACAACGCTGTTGCCCTTCCCCAATTCCCCAATAAAATCTTTAAAATAAAAAAAAAAAACTGCCAAGTATTCCAAGGTGGTTGTACTATTTTATAGTCCCACCAACAATGTATGAGTTCCAGTTGCTCCACATTCTCAACCAACATTTGCTGTCATTCTCAATTTTAGCCATTCTTGTGGGTGTGAAATGGTCTCTCTTTGTAATTTTAATTTGCATTGCCCTTTTAACCACTGAGGACAGAACATCTTTCCATGGACTTATTGGCCATTAACTTATCTTCTTCAGTGACGTATCCATTCAAGTCCTTTGTCCATTTTTAATTGGGTTGTTAGTTTTTATTATTGATTTGTAGTTCTTCATATAGTCTAGATACAAGTCTTTGGTCATACGCATGTATTGTGAGAATTTTAGCATATACTTCCTAAAATAATATTCTCCTACATAATCAATGGTGTTACTGCACTCTGGAATTTAACATTCAGTTAATAATTTATCTAACATTACAAATTTTCTCATAGGTTATGGCTTACCTTTTCTTTTTTTAGCTTTAATAAGAAAATGTAATTTTGATAAGGTGCAATGAATCAAATTGTTTTCTTTTATATTTATGCTTCTTGTGTCATTTCTAAGAAAATGTTGTACCCACCCCCCAAGGTTATGAAAATATTTTTCCTCTAGAAGCTATACAAATTTAGCTTAACACTCCAAACTAATTTATGTTATGGTGAAGTTTGAAGGGGAATATATTATAAATTTCCCCAAAACATATTTAAAAATAAAACAAGAACTATCATCCCACCTCCTAGCTAAAAGTCTGTTTAGCCAACAAGAGCCTATATCACAAATTTAACTTCCTATTCCAGCATATTTCAATCTTGTGAGTAACACAATCTGTCTGAATAATTAAATGTCAAATTTATATAAAGAAGTTATAATGAAAGGGTGCAACTATTAGGAGATGAAGAGACTCAGAAAGAAATAGAAATAACAGTGTATAATCAATCTTAGACCTCAGTGTCGGGCTTTATATCAAGTAAATTTCACTGTCAGGGGTCCTCAAGTAGGGCTTTCAATAACTGCATTATTTTCCCAACTTTTCAGTTTGAAAAATTTCACATCTATAAAAGAGGTGAAAGAATAGTATAATAAATATCCATGTACTCTTTACCTAAATTCACCAAATACTAACATTTTGCCACACTTGCCTTCTCTCTTTTTCTACAAACATATGCATGCGCACACATTATATGTGCGTGATGACTGAAAATGTGCCACTTGAATCTGCTATGAAGAGTCTAATTAACTGATGGCGCCAACTACTGCCCTTCTAAGTCTACTGCCATCTTCTCATAGGGCCCAGCTTCCTGTGGGCTGTTCCCAGCTAAGGACTGAGCACAGCAGAAGTACTAATGAAGGTCTATTCCTGTAAGACAAGGGACTCCTCCAACAGGTGACTTTGGCTCAAGGACTCCCCATCAGCTTACCAAACCCTTCTTGGAACTGTGCTGTAGTCTGAGACTCTTCCTACCCAATCCTCCTTCCTTCCCCTTCTCCTTCATCACTGTCTGAATGCTCTCTTCCACTTCTCTCTTTTCTTCCTTATTCGTCACAGGCATTTTCCCCATAAATCTCCCACATACATCTAATCCCATCTTGGCATCTACTCAAAAGTACCCAAACTCATACCACGTGTGTGTGTGTGTGTGTGTGTGTGTGTGTGTGTGTGTGTGACAGAGAGAGAGAGAGAGAGAGAGAGAGAGAGAGAGAGAAGGGAGGGTGCATGCTGAACTATGAGAGCAAGTTGCAAATACCATGACACTTCAATCCTAAATACTTCCGCATGCATTTCCTAAGATTAAGGTCACTCTCTAACAATCAATTACAATGATCACATTCTGAAAACTTTAAGTTGACATAATACATATAGTCCATATTAAAAATTTCTCTGATTTTCCCAATGATGTCCTTTCTGTTTCTTTTTGGATCCAGGATCCAGCTAAAGAACATATAGTATTACGTTTAACTTTCATGTCTCTTTAGAATAGTTTAATCAAGAACAGTTTCCCAACTTTTTTCCCCAATCATTCATTTTCCTTACATTAAATTTTTTTTTCAATTTCTGAAAAGTCCAGGTCATTTGTTTAGCAGAATGTCTTTCAATTTAGATTTGTCTGATTGGTGTCTCATGATTCGATTTGGGCCAAACATTTTTGCCAGGAATATACAACATAGGTAATGCTGTGTCCTTTTGAGTGCATCGTATCAAGCACGAGGCCTATGGTGTCAACTTGTCCCATTTTGGGTGATGTTCATTTTGATTGCTTCAGTAAGACTCTACTTTTAGTAATTTTAAGATTAGAAGAAATAATGTGAATTCTGTATTCCCCATAAAGCCAACCTTGAGATAAGACAAATGGGGTACCAGGTAAAGAGAGCATAATTGACCCCAGTAACAATAATTTATTATAAATCCACTTTCAAGATTTATTCAAGAAGCTTTATATTAACTATTAGGAGACAATTCTTCATGGGTCTCTCACATTTCTGCATGTTTTGTTAGAAGAGGTACTGACTGCTTTTGTTCAGGCTATCTTTTCAAGGATGTTTGTAGTGAATAGCTCAGAAAGATAGAAACAGTGTCTCCCTCCAGAGTAAAAGGTAGGTTTGCTTACAACCCTGAAGATAATGTCTCTCTCCCGAGCAAAGAACAGGCATCCTTACTGCTCATTGTGAAATATTTGCATTTTCTAAGCACAGGTTCCCCTGAGTGTGCAGCTGTCACCTGACTCCCTTTGGGTCACCCTGTGGAATTTGGGGCACCAGCACAAGAAAATGCTCATACTCTGGCGATTGCTATTTCTGTAACTAATACAGTCTTTTGTCTCTGACTCAGGAGTCTTCTATCTTCTGCAAGAATCTATAAAGCTATGGCAGGCTAACTTGTTAGCTTGAAAATAAGGTAGAATCTCAGTCCCTTCACAGTTCAACACTAACTTTCATATTTTGTACAGAAAAGCAAATATACTTTTACTATGAAATATCTGAGATCACATCTCAATATTAAATTCTAGCTTCCTTTAATCATAATTTGATTTATATGAGCTTATCCAATAAAGGGTTCTAGTAAACTTAATTTGATAATATTCTACTTAAAAAAAAATCAGGCTGCTCTATTTTTATTTTACTTTGACAGTATTTTTTTTTTACCTCTACACCAGCAGAGGCATCAAATACAGCTACTGCACCATCCAACACTCTTAGGCAGCGCTCAACCTCCAAGGTAAAGTCCACATGACCTGACAAAAAGATGAAAAATATAACACTTAAATCTTAAAAAAAAGAAAATAATAATAGTAATAACAACAACAATAACACCATATGGCCCAGCAATCCCACTTTTGAGGATATATCCAAAAGACCTGAAAGGAGGCTCTCAAAGAGATATTTGTATACCTATGTTCATACCAAAACTATTCACAATAGCCAAGAGGTAGAAGCAACCCAAATGTCCACTGATGGATGAATGGTATATACAAAATTTAGTACATATACAAAATGTGTTGTATATGTACAATGGAATACTATGCAGGTTAAAAAGAAATACTGTCACATGCTACAGCATCGATGAACCTTGAAGGACTTTATGCTAAGTGACATACGCCATCACAAAACAACAAATACTGTATGACTTCTATTTATATGAGGTATCTAAAGTAATCGATCCCACAGATACAGAAAGTATTGGGTTGTCGGAAAAGTCATGATGTATTTTTTCTGTTTTTCATTGCAAAAATGCGTCATTACTTTTCTGACAACCCAGGGGTGGGAGGAGGAGGCAAAGAAGCGTAGTTGTTTAACGGGTACAGAGTTTCAGTTTTGCAAGATGAAAAAGTTCTGGAGATCTGTTTCAAAACAATGGCAATATATTTAATACTACTGAACTGTACTCTTAAAAATGGTAAATTATATGACACATGCTTTTCACCACAATTGAAAAAAACACACATACACAAACAAAAACTTCAACTGATGCAAAATCTCAGCATTACTGGAACAGCACCATACCTGGTGTATCAATTAGATTGACTCTATACCCTTTCCAGTCAAATGTAACAGCAGCTGATTGAATAGTAATGCCTCTTTCTCGCTCTTGAGCCATAAAATCTGTCACTGTATCTCCGTCATCAACATCTAACCAGGAAAAAGATGACAGTTAGGCTTAATCGCAAGTGCATTTTCTTGGTATGTGATATCCACCTAACAATTTAATTTGCTTTAAGAAAAATTATTTATAAAATATTTGGTTTAATATTTAGAGCCCTTAATCTTTAAATAAATCCTTGTTCAAGAAAAAGCTTTTTCAGAAAGATTTTTCTATAAAAATAATTTTCCCATTAACAACTAAGATTAAAATCTGTTTAAATATTTAAATTTACTGAACCATATACTTCTTTCACTTTGTTCCTAGTTTAACTTTCATTATCCTTTTATCTGATGTTCCTTAGGCCTGATCGCAACAGAAGGCCGAGTAGTGCAATAAAAGAGCACAGACAGACTTAGATTTAAATCCCAACTTTTCCACACTTACTACTCTATAATCCTGAGCTGGTTATTTAACCTAGTTTATAAAATAAGGCTAATAAAGTCAAATTTTCCAGGTTGTCTTAGAATGAAACAAGACAATTTATGTAAATACCAGCTCAGTAAATGGAATAAGATAGAGAAAAAATTCCTCCCAAGTTACATTATCCTTTACAAACCCTTCTCATCACTAAATTTTCAAAAAAAAAGGGAGGGGGATTTATTTGTACAAATACAAATAGTCTTGGGAGAACTTCTACAGCATAAAGGCATGCAGAAAGTTCATCGTGACTAACGAAAGGTCACTGAAATTAATCTACAATAACATTCTTTCATTATGCATTTGATTCTAATTAAATTTATACAGTAAAAGAAATGAAAAAGAGGACTTCCGGTCAAGATGGCATAGTAGATAAACACTGTGCATACCGCCCCTCACAACCACATCAAAATTACAACTAAATTATAGAACAACCATCATTGAGAAGTCCTATAACTAAGGAAACAAAGAAGCAGCCATGTAGAGACTGGTAGGAGGGGCAGAGATGTGGGGCAGGCAGGTCCCACACCCACAGTGTGGCAATCAAGAACTGGGAGGGATGTGATGGCTGCAAAGGTCTCCCCTGAGGAGCGAGCGGTCCCCCAGCTTTACACTGGGCTCCTTAGGCCAGGGCTCCAGTGCCAAAAAGAGAAGTCGCCATAACTTCTGGCTGGGAAAATCAGGGGAGATTGAATCCGAATGAGACAGAGGAATGCTGAAGACCTAGCCATCCTCTGGAGGAGCCCACTCCCAGACTCACCAGCTCTGGGCTCAAGAGCAAGACAGCAGCTCAAAAAGCACCAAGGACACACAGGGAGGAACTAAACCAACTAGCGTCAGGGGGAGGGCTGAAGGGGCAGAAGTCAGGACAGCTCTCTCTGGTGAAAGAAGTGCTGGAAGGTGCCACTGATCCTTTGTTGAGCCTTCTCCCCACCCAGGTGGCCTGGATCAGGTGGGCGTCAAATCTGTGCTCTCCCGTTAATCTGGCTAACACTGTTTTCCCCGCTCTAGTGATTCCAAGACCCTGCCCCACCCAACTCACGCACCCAGCCAAACCTCTTCCAGGGGCTTTTCTACACAAGTGCCCTGCCTCAGCTTGAGCTGTGGACTTTCCTAAAATCTCTTGAAGGTCCACGGCTCTGAACAAGCAGCAGCTGGACTCAGTGTACCCTGTATTTCTTGCTTAGCGGCTCCAAGTCCAGCACAAATAGTGACTGGCCTCAACTTTGTAACTCCCATCAGGTGGCCCCCAACCCTGGCATAAGCAGTGGACAGTCTTGCTTTAAAATGCTGCTTCAACTACATGGCCATGGGCCCAGCACAAGTGTCAGGGGGCCTCAGCTCATATCATGTTGCCCACTAAAGAGTCCCAAGCCCGGACTCGTAGCAGACAGCCCAAGTTCACAGCACAGGCTCTCCAAAACTCCTCTAAGCCCAGCACAAGCAGAAAACAACAGCAAATCACTTTGTAGCTCCTACCAGGCAGCCCCAAGCTGGGCACAAACTGCAGCTGACCTTGTCTTGCACCAGAGCCCCTCCCAAGAGTTTCAAGAACCAACACATCGAGTGGCTGGCTTCAGACCACACTGTAGTACCAACAAACCAGCTCCACAAACAACATACCTAAAGGGTGGACTGAGTTGACACCAGAGCCCCACTAAAGCTACTCCTGCTCTTTGGGGTCAACACTCACACAACAGCTTGTCCACTGTAGTCACGGCCAGTCTCAGTGTGAGGATCAATCCCAACCACTGATGTGCCAACAGCAATCAATGCTCAACTACAACAGGTGGGCACACACAACACACACAAGGCACACACAACACACACAAGGCATCCAGCTCAGGTAACCAGGGAGGCTGCACCATCTGGGACACACAAGACACCTCCTAAATAAGGCCACTCTGCCAAGACTGGGAAACACAGCAAATTTACCTAATACACAGAAATAAACACACTGAGTCAGCCAAACTAAAGAGACAAAGAAACATGTCCCAAATGAAAGAACAGGACAAAGCTCCAGAAAAAGAACTAAATGAAATGAAGACAAGCAATCTATTAGACAGAGTTCAAAACATGGTTATATGAATGCTCAATGAACTTAAAGGAAGAATAGATGAACTCAGTGAGAACTTCAACAGGTATAAAACAAAAAAGAACCAGTGAGAAATGAAGAATATAACAAAAAATACATTACAGGGAATCAATAGATTAGATGAAGCAGAGGATCGAATCAGTGATCTGGAAAACAAAATAGTGGAAAACACCTAACTGAAACAGCAAAAAGAAAAAAGGATTTTAAAAAATGAGAGTTTAAGGGACCTCTGGGACAACATCAAGTGCACCAACATTCGCATCATAGGGGTACCAGAAGAAGAGAGAGCAAGGAACTGAAAACCTATTTAAAGAAATAACAAAAAACTTCCCTAACCTGGTGAAGGAAATTGACATACAAGCCCAAGAAGTGCAGAGTCCCAAACAAAATGAACCCAAAGAAGCTCACACAAAGACATATAATTAAAATACTAAAGATTAAAGACAAAGAGAGAATCTTAAAAGCAGCAAGAGAAAAGCAGTTAGCTACATACAAGGGAGCTCTCATAATATTGTCAGCTGATTTCTCAACAGAAACTTTGCAGGCCAGAAGGGGCTGGCATGAAATATTCAAAGTGATGCGAAGTTAAGACCTACAATCAAGATTACTCTACCCAGCAAGGGTATCACTTAGACTCGAAAGACAGACGAAGTATTTCCCAGAGAAGAAAAAGCTAAAGGAGTTCATCACCACTAAACCAGTATTATAAGAAATGTTAAAGGGACTTCCATAAGAATAAATATATCAAAACTATGAATACGCCTAAGAGGAGTGATGTCAGCAGCACAGCAGCATGAGAGGACCTCCAGGTCTCTCCCCTTAAAGTTACAAGTTGCACAGTTATAATTCAACAAAGAATTCCCTTCAGAATACACCAACACTTCTGAAAGATGCACACATTGGGACCTCTGAAGGCTAGGTTATCGGAGTGAAAAGGGGAGAAGAGACAAAGGACAGGCTGAAACTTCAGATGCAGGGTGGCGCTAGCTGCAGCCCAGGGGATGAATAGCAGTGAAGGGTTGGGGTGCAGCTCACATTGGGCAGATCGGAGGGGCAGAGATGACAACTGAGCCAGGGTGGCCAGTACATATTAAGGCTGAGGTCAGGGGCAGGGAAGCAGTGTAAAATGTGGCAGCATTCCACAAAACACCCTGGACAAAACAGGACAAGGGATCTGCAGATACAGGAACCTGCCACCCCCAGCAGTAAAATCCTTACTTAACAGATTGCAAAAGCCAGAAACAACTCTCCAGCCTAAGTGGTCTGTACGCGTTGCAGCTGAACCCACTAGAAAAAACAGAGCCACAGATGTGCAAACCCACCTCCCCCAGCCCACCCTTCCTCTACCCATTGCAGTGGCAAGGCTGGCGGCTTCTAGCTGCAGGGAGGCAGCATGGAGAAGACACAGGCCAGGAGAACCATGGACTGAATCAGAGAAATGCAAATGAAAACCACACCTGTCACAATGGCTATCAATAAATCAACAAACAAGTGTTGGCGAGGATGTGGAGAAAAGGGAACCCTTGTCCACTGTTGGTGCAAATGTAAATTGGTGCAGCTTCTATGGAAAACAGTACGGAGGTTCCTCAAAAAACTAAAAGCAGAACTACCATCTGACCCAGTAATTCCACTTCTGGGTATTTATCCGAAGAAACCCAAAACACTAATTCAATAGATAGATCAAGATGTGGTACATATATACAATGGAATATTAGTCATAAAAAAGAACGAAATCTTACCATTCGTGACAATGTGAATGGACCTAGAGGATATTATGCTAAGTGAAATAAATCAGACAGAGAAAGACAAACACCATATGATTTCACTTATATGTGGAATCTAAAAAAGAAAATAAACAATACAGCAACAAACTCATAGATACAGAGAACATTTTGATGGTTGCCAGATGGGTGGGGGGTTAGACGGATAGGTGAAAAAGGGGAAGGGGTTAAGAAGTACAAATTGGTAATTACAAAATAGTCATGGGGATATAAAGTATAGCAAAGGGAATTTGGTCAATAATATTATAATAACTACGTATGTGTCAGATGGGTACTAGACCTATCTGGGCAATCACTTCCTAAGTTATATAAATGTCTAATCTGTAGTACACCTGAAACTAATATAATATTGTATGTCAAACTAATTAAAAAACAAAAATTTTTTTATAAAGAAATGAAAAAGATCTGACCTTTACCATTCAAAATTCAAGAACAGAAGTTATCATGGCATTATACTACCTCTACTCATGTCAGCATTAAACCTCTAAAATGCTAGCTAAGTTCTCCATATCATGTTTGTGTGTGTGCATATGTATACATAAATATACAGACACTTATGCAAAGAGGGGAAAATAGCAAAAAAAATTTATCTGTCAGCAACTCCAAATATAATATCCATGTTAAAGAATTATATTAGTGTTGCCAGTTATTCACACAGAACTAACCAAGAAAACAAACATCATTCAGGAGACAAAGAACAAATAACTAACTATGAGTTCCAAATGAGGCAGTAAGTTTTTAAAACACATACACAATAACAAGATTTTTAACAACAATAAAAACTTTATTTCCCATCTCTCTTTATGATTACTCATATGACTAACAAAATCAACATTGAAAAAGTCTGTCACAATTTGGATGGTTTCTAGGCCTCTGGCCTAAACCAGAAAAACACTTCAAAAGATATCTTATATATACATACAATAGAATTACTATTCAGCCTTAAAAAAGAAGAAAATTCTGATACACACCACAACATGAATAAACCTTGAGGACATTATTTTAAATGTTAAATAAGCCAGTCACAAAAAGACAAATACATACGATTCCACTTATATGAGGTATGTAGTCAAATCCATAGGAAGAAAAATGGAATGGTGGTTGCCAGGGGCTGGGGGCTTGATGGAGGGAAAAATGGGGAGTTATTTAATGGTTGCAGAGCTTGGGTTTTGCAAAATGTTTGAAGGTTGGTTGCAAACTGTGTGAATATACTGACACCACTGATGTGTACAATTGGAAATGATTAAGATTGTAAATTTTGTTATGTGCTTTTTACCAAAATTAAAAAAAAAAAGAACTCAAAAGTTGCCTGGACCCACCTCACTCTGAGCCCTTGCTTGAGGGATACAAACTGGGGATGTGAGGGAAGGATTCTTATCAGATTTGTGACACAATAGAGGAAGCCTAACAATGTTACACGCTTTGCTGTCTGTTATATCTCCAAATACATAGCAGTAATTCTATGAGAGGGTCATGTGCTTGATATTTAGGAATTTATCATCATAAAGATTATAATCCTGGTAGGAAAAGAACACCCAGGATTAGAGTCTTCATTTGAAATGCACTCTATTGAGAACTAATTCCAAGGATCCAGAGAAATGGTTTTCAATACAGTGCATTCCAAAATCACTGTGGAGTTTTGGAAAAAGATATTCATTTCCGCTTCTGCTATTATGGACCTGATGACCTCCATCTTAAATTTCAAAACCAATTGTTTTACTAGAGGTAAAGAAAGGCACTTCATAATGATAAAAGTATTGATTCTTCAGAGAAACATAACAATTAAATGTATATGAGTCAGAGTTTCAAAATATATGACACCATCCAGACTTGCTAAACATCCAGGCTGTGCCACATACTTGCTAAGTCTTCATTTCCAGAGTGGAACACAGGCCTTGTTATTTAAAAACAGAACAACAACCAGAAAAGTTACATGGGGTTTCAAGTGTGAATGCCTGACCAAGAACCACAGTTTTTCCCATTAGAATTACAAAATAAATTCAAAATTTAGGTAAATACTACCACCACTGTGGGTTAAGGATTAACGAAATCCTTTCTTCCTCTGCATGAGAATTTGACCTCTGGTTAACTTTCTGGTTCTTTTCTTCTAGAAACCAGAAAATAGAAGTATGCCAACTATGTATGCCAACATATCTTATGGAGAAAATTAATTTGATTGGTAAGCTACATCTGAATTGGGAAGAACTGTAAATGAATTAGAAATACTTGATGGGAGATACGTAGCTTTAGGCTTCCCTGAGTGGGGTACAGCATGTCCCTTGTGGGAAAACTGGCAGACAGCCCACAAAGCCGTAACAACAGATAGTCATTTCTAGGGGGGGCATGAGTCTTCTAAGCCAGGGTGGCTCCTGTGAATCGTTACTATTTAACTCAGTTATCACTTTGGGCTAGCCAAAAAGATAGCTCCTAAGTAGCATGTGGGCTGTTATATAAGAACCCCTACAGAAAGAAACACCTATCGCTGGTCCACTGGTAAACTATGGTTCTTGTCCTATAGCCTGAGCAGACCAGTGCCAACTGTGGCCCAAGTCTTATGAGTCTGAGTGTTTAGCTGAACCTCGGAAGACCCTTTGGTGGATGCTGCAACTACCTTCTCTTTATGTTGTGGTTTAGACATCAGTTCCTCCATGCCATACCCAAGATCTCTAGATTGACTCCTTAATCAAAATGTTTTCCAATGATGGTTTTGCTAACCGGGGGGTGGGGAGAAGAGGAATCCATTCTAACCTCCCAGAGATCTTGTGTATCCAGAATAGTACAATATTCTTTCTGTGGTGGTAGTTTTGCCTGCATCAATATGAGCCATAATTCCAATATTACGGATTCTGTTCAAAAGAGGGGGAAAAAAAACATGTATTATAAATTTACAATTTACTAAAATTGTAAAACCCAACTGTCTATGCTGTACAAATTCTGAAGCTGGTTAGTATTTCAACAATTTATATAATGGTGTAAAAACTAGAAAAATGGAAGACATACCATTACCACATTACTCTGACAAAATAGGTAAGAATAATAACAAGAGAGCTAACTGCAGTCTTGTGACTATATTTATTTCTACGAAAAGCGTGCTGTTAACTACATTAAATTTTTTAGCATTCAACTGAGAAAACAGCTTTTAAGATACATACCAACATCTATTTACAATTAGCTAGGGCAAAAGGTCACAGAAATGAGAGCATTCACTAACAATGCTGAATTAAGCCCATGAGAGAAACCTATAACTTTTCATGGCAGCCTATGGAAAACACAGTATCAATGACAGTACTTACTTAGCTATAGGAGGGTTAATGATGGATTGAAGGGATTTGATATCATTTCCTATTAAACCTAATGGAAAGATATTAAAATTAAACTGTTAAAGAAATTTTCCTTTATAAAGACATTAAAATAATTTTAAGCAAATACTGTAATTCCAATTAAAGTAAAATCCAAATAAAACTCTCAATAACTTCAAATTTATTTTCCTACAATCTCTAAAGGAAGACTATGGATGACAATAAAACAAGGCAGTTTTATAATATCAATTTCTAGATCACATCCTTAGAAAACTATAGATTTACCCCAATCTCTACTACTTTCTACAATTCAATTTATTATAATAGAATGTAGAATTAGAGTTAATGTTCATAACAATAATCTTAAGGCAGTAGAAGATCTTGAACCAAAGAATATAAAATGCACAGTTCTGTAAGCCTGCACTGTCAAGGCTTGAAGAGCTGAGTGACCCTCCTATCAGCAGATAATTAATTTTTGTACAATTTGGAACCTACCTTCCTTCAGCAATCCTAAGGACACAGTACCTTTAAAGACGGCCTAGGAAGTATCACTAAACAGAAGCTGTAATAATCTAATACTTCTAAAAGGCCACGTAGTATTTCTGGAATAAAAAGTCCATAATGACTTACTTCATGCTTACCATGTATTTTACTTGTAATATTGAAGCAACAATGCAATTACATTTATAAGCTATACCTTCCTGCTATTTAAACCAGCTCTCCCAAATTTCTATAATAAATTAAGAAGAGTTCTATTATATTTTGAAAACCTCACAAAGGTTTGAAGATGGAAAGGTAGTCTGTACTGCTACAGATAAATCTGCAAGAACAAAATACAGAAACCTAGATACACACAATACTGCAGGCCATTAAATTCACATGCCCTTAACAGGTTACACAATCAGTATATTTAGCCCATTTTTCCTAACATAACACAGATGGTAATGAGAACAGCAAAAAAAAGAAACCAGTTTCATTGAGTTTCCCATATGTCTGCTTACTTCAAACACAGAAAGGATATTCAGAATTGGGAGCAGTCAGTACCTCAGCCTTCTAATTTTTAAGTCATCTAACCTAAACTATCCCAAATATATTTAACCAAACTACTCTTTTTTTTTTTTTTTAAATTGGGTAATTGGGGGGATGGGAACAGGGGAATTGGGGGAAGGGGAACAGATAGGTTGCTGTCGTTTTGTTCTTCAGTCTAGTTGTGAAGGATGTTGCTTCACTGGCCCAAGTTGGCACCATCATTGTGCTCTTCCCGGGTGAGGCAGATCAGTTGCCGGCTTCTGGACGGCCGCTCACTGCGGCT